CAGAAATTGCATTTAATTTGGTTAAATGCATACTAGAAAAATAAGTTTCAAAGACAATCCTAACAAGGTAATCAAATGGAGAAGGCAAGGCTAGACTAACCCAATAGTTGGCTGTAATGCTAAACTGAGTGTTAACACAACTCACCAGTTTCGTAGTTTAAATCAGTTTAAATTCTTCATCACTGGCCCAGGTAGTCGGCTCTTACAGTTCAACATTAGTTGTGTTAGTTTTAGAAATTGACATAGGAAAATAATGAGTTAAAACAATGAACAGGGATTGTGCAGCATCTGTTTCCCCAAGTGTGCCCCACTTGTGTTAAAAAGTGAGGAAAATTAGTTCTGAGGCTAATTCTAATGTTGTGTAGAAACAGCTCATGATGACTTGCCTGGTTGATATACGTTCAGCTACTTTTGCTTTTTTTATGTCAGTTAAGTGAATTATATGTTAAAATAGCATAGTTAATGACCATGAGTAAAATGTAAAAATTAAAATTTGGCTGTTGTATTACTGATTTTTCTTTTTTTTTACCTGAGAATTAGACATTGTCAAACCCCTCAAGTGGTCTGCTGGTAAACCAGATCAGAATGATACAAGCATGCACAAGCATCTGTGGGTGGGGCCCGCTGGTGAAGTGAGGCAGGGTAGAGAGTGAGCGGGGAAGAAAGTTAGTGGGGAGGAGTACTGTTTACATCCAAAGATTCTCCCTAAACTGATTTTTGATCCAATCCTGCCTACCTCAGATTTAGTTCTTCAGTTTAGTGTTCTTGTTGAGATTGGGGATGGGGAGGTTTGCCATAGGTGCGTTGCATTCTTTACTGCACCTGAGTATGAGGTAAACCCGTAGCCCTAAAAAAACAGCACAAACCCAGAAGTTACCCCTCTAATCCCAAATCCTACTTTAGCCTGCAGGCCTTGGTTGTTTGAGAAAAGCACTTACAGATTGAAAAAAACAACTTACTGGCACAGTCTTCATGAGAAGCTTGAGCCAAAAGGCTGTTTTGGTTCTTTTGGCCCAAGTTCTGGTTTGTTTGCATGTGTGTGTGTTTCTGTGTGTGCGTGTCCTTGGGGTGCTTTGAGATCATTGTATCAAAGCCATTCCTGATCCTGAGCTATTTCTGTTTTCCCCATCCGGCTTACTGGCATGGTCATCACACACCATGCAGCCAAGACACTCAAAATTGGACAGACATTCACAGCAGGCTTTCAGGTCCATATTGTGTTGGTCCCACATGGACAAGATGGCTGCCTCTTGTTTCTTGATTGGATTGACTAACAGAGATTGAGATCACATTGCAGCTCACATTCCTTTCCAAATCAGCCCAACTGTTGGATGAGAGCACAGCCATCGTCAAGCGTCTGTAGTTATGATCAGTCAGCAGCCAGTAGGTTCTCTGACTATAATCTACTGTTGGTGTGAAGAACCCATGCCAACACACACACACACACACACACACACACACACACACACACACACACACACACACACACACATATATATATATATATATATATATATATATATATATATAAATAAAGGATAAAAAGGATAAAGTAGCTCTTGAGAATATTGTTAGGCTTTGAACTGGATGATGTGAATTTGTATAGAAACAATTTTTCAGCAAAGCAGAAACAATAAAGGCCATTGCACAGCAGCATTACTTCATTATCAATTAACAGTGAGAACAGGCTGAAAACATTGAACTACATGCATGTATACTCCAAAGGGCAGGCATGTACATGATGGAAAGCTTTAGGTCAGGAGTCCTTTGTCTGTGCAGGACTGAGGTGATAATGGTGATGGTGTCCCCATCTAATGGCGTTCCTTGTTAAGTCGTCCCTGAGCATTTTCATTTGAAGAAGAAAAAGAAAAAGAAAAAAAAATTGAAAAAATACTTGCACCTCCAAGCCCTCTGTCCCCAAGACAAACATGGGTGTTACGCATTAAAATGAGGAGTGCGTCAGGTAACAAATAAGGTCAGAGATATTCTTGCTGTTAAAATGACATGAAAAAAACATACTGCCTACCACCAATTTCCATGACCTTAATCAAACAAACTCTCGAATCCTTGCATTCTCACCACTCACAAATCTCTCACCAAGCCTCACTCAAGCCTTTAAGCCTTTGAAGAAACAGTTCTAAGATGGAAGTCATGGACGTAGGTCACGTGTTGGCCACAAAGCCTGAACCTTTGGTTTGAGCCTCTTTACTTTTCTCCATGCACCATTGTAAATAATGTTCAGGCGTATTGTGTGTGGAATCCTTGTTTCACACTATGTTTGATGGCACTTGATTTTATGGTCTATTCCCGGTCAGGGAATACACTCTTTGAACATCTGGGATCCTCTCTGTATAGTGAAGCTTGTACAATGACACCTTTGTACACTACTGTATCTTGCCAGTTTAGAGACCTCTTATTTTGGCACACTGTATTGCAGCCCTCCCAAAAAAGATTCATGTCCAAACTGAGGCCTTAAGAGCGAAAGCTTCAAACGCAACCTCATTCCACTGCAAACAAAGATATATCAAATTCACAGATGCTCTAGAAAAAGCCTGACCAACTCCCTGGTGGTCTAGTCGTTAGGATTCGGCGCTCTCACCGCCGCGGCCCGGGTTCGATTCCCAGTCAGGGAATACACTCTTTGAACATCTGGTGTCCTCTCTGTATAGTGAAGCTTGGTCACGGTGGGGGTGCCATGTCAGGCTTGTGGCTTTGATGAAAAAGGACATTGTCAGTGCTCTTCCACGTTGTCCCCCATATCTCAAAAAATACAACCTACTGTACATGTACAATGACACCTTTATACACTGTTGTATCTTGCCAGTTTACAGACCGCTTATTTTGGCACACTGTATTGCAGCCCTCCCAAAAAAGATTCATATCCAAACTGAGGCCTTAAGAGCAACTGCTTTGAACACAACCTCATTCAACTGCATACAAAGATATATCAAATTCACAGATGCTCTAGAAAAAACATGACCAACTCCCTGTTGGTCTAGTGGTTAGGATTCGGCGCTCTCACCGCCGCGGCCCGGTTTCGATTCACCGTCAGGGAATACACTCTTTGAACATCAGGGGCCTCTCTGTATAGTGAAGCTTGGTCACGGTGGGGGTGCCATGTCAGGCTTGTGGCTTTGATGAAAAAGGACATTGTCAGTGCTCTTCCACGTTGTCCCCCATATCTCAAATAATACACCTTACTGTACATGTACAATGACACCTTTATACACTGTTGTATCTTGCCAGTTTACAGACCGCTTATTTTGGCACACTGTATTGCAGCCCTCCCAAAAAAGATTCATATCCAAACTGAGGCCTTAAGAGCAACTGCTTTGAACACAACCTCATTCAACTGCATACAAAGATATATCAAATTCACAGATGCTCTAGAAAAAACATGACCAACTCCCTGTTGGTCTAGTGGTTAGGATTCGGCGCTCTCACCGCCGCGGCCCGGTTTCGATTCCCCGTCAGGGAATACACTCTTTGAACATCGGCTGTCCTCTCTGTATAGTGAAGCTTGTTCATGTCAGGCTTGTGGCTTTGATGAAAAAGGACATTGTCAGTGCTCTTTCACATTGTCCCCCATATCTCAAAAAATACAACTTACTGTACATGTACAATGACACCTTTGTTCACAACTGTATCTTGCCAGTTTAGAGACCTCTTATTTTGGCACACTGTATTGCAGCCCTCCCAAAAAAGATTCATATCCAACCTGAGGCCTTAAGAGCGAAAGCTTCGAACGCAACCTCATTCCACTGCAAACAAAGATACATCAAATTCACAGATGCTCTAGAAAAAACATGACCAACTCCCTGGTGGTCTAGTGGTTAGGATTCGGCGTTTTCCCCGCCGCGGCCCGGGTTCGATTCCCGGTCAGGGAATACACTCTTTGAACATCAGGGGCCTCATGTATCAACACTTGCGTGGAACTCATACCAGAAACAAGCGCACGCAAGGTCTGTAACGCTGAAAAAAATCCGTATGTATCAATGTGTGCGGGCGCCGAAATCCACGCGTGTTTCCTTGATACATCCCAATCAGCGTGGAAATGAGCGCAGATGTCGGAGTGACTGGGCCAGCCCCCCTTACGCCCTCCTATAAATATGCAGATTTATTTAAATAGGGTCTCCCTGTCCTCGCACGCAGACAAAATGACAAGAAAACCTAAATTTACGGCGTGCGAGGTGGAGGTGCTGGTGGCGGAGGTGGAGGAGCGACAGCGTGTTTTGTTTGGCAGCCTGTCCAGTGGCGTCAGTGCAAAACGAAAACGCTTGGAGTGGGAGAAAGTTTGTCAGAGGGTGAACGCGGTGGGTTCAGAGACACGCAGCCCCGCGGAGATTAAAAAAAAGTGGTCGGACCTCAAGGTGGAGGTCAAGCGGCGTACAGCTGCCCTCCGGAGGAGTACCGGCCAGACAGGTGGGGGTCCGGGGGAGGAGACCCTCACGCCGTTTGAGCAGCGGGTGGTGGCGATTATGGGGGGCGCCTCTGTGGGGGGGATTGTCGCCGCTACCCGCGGCGACTCAGACAGCCTGCTGGAGGGTAAGTAGCGTGTCACACAAATGTCCACATGCTTTGCCATAGATGTAAACGCAACAGATACACAGAAGCAGGAATTGAAATGAACAAATATTTTTATTGTGTCACAGAAATCAATGTGTCGGCCGAGTCGCCGGCTTGTGGAACCCCGGCCCGCGGCAGCCCGTCCGCCGGCTCGGAGTCGTCGGCCAGGACCAGCGGCATTCGGGCCGCCCCCGGCCCCAGCACCAGCGCGCCGACAAGCAATGGAGCGTCCACCAGGCGCGGCGCTTCCGCTGGACCACCCGGACACAGTGGAAGGGTCCTCACGGAGGCGGTCCTGCAATCACAGGAACAAATAATTAGGGGGATCGCGGGGATCAATGAGCGGCTGGACCGCCTCGTCAATGTCCTCGAGCGTCTGGTGGACAAAATAAAATAATTTGGCTCATTAAACTGTGTATTCACTTCTTACCCATTCACATTGTGGCGATGAGATTCTCCCACGCGAGGACGGCGGCCCGGCAGGGATCAGCTCGCATCCCTCCGTCTGCTGCTGGATCATCATTTGGGGCGACGTGCTGCTCAGCCATGGGGATGTGGTGCAGTTGTGCCACATTGTGAAGGACGCCACACGCCATCACAATGCGGCACACCTTCTCCGGACGATACAGAAGCATGCCGCCACTCCGGTCCAGACAGCGCCACCGACCCTTTAACTGGCCGATGGCCCTCTCCACCACTGACCGAGAGCGAGAGTGGAGATGGTTGTACCTCCGCTCTCGGTCAGTGTGGGGGTTGTGGAGAGGGGTCATCAGCCAGGTCCTGAGGGGGTAGCCACTGTCACCTTCAGAAAAAGCACAGTGTGTTAAGTCTTGGGCTTGATGCGTTGTAATAATAGCAAGCAATAAGCAATCAATAACCCAGAACATCCATCGAGTACTCGCAATCAAACGCAGAGAACAATATATCAGCGTTGCACACATTTAGTTCAAGTCACTGATGCACGTCAAGTTTTTGAATAACATTATATCATTACATATTTACTCACCCAGCAGCCACCCGTCTGTAACTGCACCTGCCTGGAGCCTCTCCCCAACAGTGCTGTTGTACATGATGTGCGAGTCGTGCGTTGAACCGGGCCACCTCGCAACAATGTTGAGCAGATTCATCTGTGCATCACAGATGATCTGCACATTGATGGAGTGAACGCCTTTTCGGTTGACGTAAGCGTACTCGTCAAGGGACGGCGCTTTTATGGCAACATGAGTGCAGTCAATAGCTCCGATTACGTTTGGGAATCCGGCTATTGCTGCAAATTGCGTTTTAATATTGGCCTGTTCAACCGCACCGTAGGGGAATTTAATATACCTGTTAGAGAGGCGGATCAGCTGGTCCACCACCGTAGGCATGGCCCGGCTGATGGTGGACTGGCTCACCCCAGCACGGTCCGCCATCTCCCGCTGGAAGGATCCTGTGGCCAAGTAGCCGAGTGTGCCCAGCACCAGCGTTGGCACGGGCACCGCTCGGCTTCTGGCCGTTGATCGCTCCAGCGCCGGCCGGAGCTCCTCGCACAGCTCCAGGAGGATGGCCCGCGGTAGCCGGAACCGGCTCATGAGCCATTCGTCGGTATTCTGGAGCAGGTCCTCCCGCTCCATAAAATGACGCTCACGTCAGATGGCACGGTTATAAATATCTTCGATCAGCGCAAGTGCTGCCATTGTTGAATGTTGTCTTCTGTATGTGTAGTTGTATGCGCTCTTTTATAGCCCCTCCAGTAATACCGACAGGTGTTCGTGTTTGTGTTAATGTGTTACAAATTAAAACAATTAACACACAAACAGCTGTCGGATTAACAATTAATCCACTGCAATGTGTGGACGCTTGTCACATAGTGAGTCACCAAACACCGCCACACAGCGTCGCCAAAGTGCGAATCACAGTCAACGCAAATATCCAGCTCAACGCCAATTTCTACACCACCTCCTGACTTTGCGTTGATTAGCGCTGGAACCGACGCTCGTTTCGCGATGATAAATCTGGACGTGTGCGCCGATTTTGGCGTACGCAAGGTTTTCTTGCGCCGCAAGCGTTGATACATGAGGCCCCTGGTGTCCTCTCTGAATCTGAAGCTTGGTCAGTGAAGCTTGGTCACGGTGGGGGTGCCATGTCAGGCTTGTGGCTTTGATGAAAAAGGACATTGTCAGTCCTCTTCAACGTTGTCCCCCATATCTCAAAAAATACAACTTACTGTACATGTACAATGACACCTTTGTACACTATTGTATCTTGCCAGTTTAGAGACCTCTTATTTTGGCACACTGTATTGCAGCCCTCCCAAAAAAAATTCATATCCAAACTGAGGCCTTAAGAGCGAAAGCTTTGAATGCAACCTCATTCGACTGCAAACAAAGATATATCAAATTCACAGATGCTCTAGAAAAAACATGACCAACTCCCTGGTGGTCTAGTGGTTATGATTCGGCGCTCTCACCGCCGCGGCCGGGGTTCGATTCCCAGTCAGGAAATACACTCTTTGAACATCTGGTGTCCTCTCTGTATAGTGAAGCTTGGTCACGGTGGGGGTGCCATGTCAGGCTTGTGGCTTTGATGAAAAAGGACATTGTCAGTCCTCTTCAACGTTGTCCCCCATATCTCAAAAAATACAACTTACTGTACATGTACAATGACACCTTTGTACACTATTGTATCTTGCCAGTTTAGAGACCTCTTATTTTGGCACACTGTATTGCAGCCCTCCCAAAAAAGATTCATATCCAAACTGAGGCCTTAAGAGCAACTGCTTTGAACGCAACCTCATTCGACTGCATACAAAGATATATCAAATTCACAGATGCTCTAGAAAAAACATGACCAACTCCCTGGTGGTCTAGTGGTTAGGATTCGGCGCTCTCACTGCTGCGGCCCGGGTTCGATTCCCGGTCAGGGAATACACTCTTTGAACATCTCGTGTCCTCTCCGTATAGTGAAGCTTGGTCACGGTGGGGGTGCCATGTCAGGCTTGTGGCTTTGATGAAAAAGGACATTGTCAGTGCTCTTCCACGTTGTCCCCCATATCTCAAAAAATCCAACTTACTGTACATTTACAATGACACCTTTGTACACTACTGTATCTTGCCAGTTTAGAGACCTCGTATTTTGGCACACTGTATTGCAGCCCTCCCAAAAAAGATTCATATCCAAACTGAGGCCTTAAGAGCAACTGCTTTGAACACAACCTCATTCGACTGCATACAAAGATATATCAAATTCACAGATGCTCTAGAAAAAACATGACCAACTACCTGGTGGTCTAGTGGTTAGGATTCGGCGTTTTCACCGCCGCGGCCCGGGTTCGATTCCCGGTCAGGGAATACACTCTTTGAACATCTGCTGTCCTCTCTGTATAGTGAAGCTTGGTCACGGTGGGGGTGCCATGTCAGGCTTGTGGCTTTGATGAAAAAGGACATTGTCAGTGCCCTTTCACGTTGTCCCCCATATCTCAAAAAATACAACTTACCGTACATGTACAATGACACCTTTGTACACTGTTGTATCTTGCCAGTTTAGAGACCTCATATTTTGGCACACTGTATTGCAGCCCTCCCAAAAAAGATTCATATCCAAACTGAGGCCTTAAGAGCAACTGCTTTGAACACAACCTCATTCGACTGCATACAAAGATATATCAAATTCACAGATGCTCTAGAAAAACCATGACCAACTCCCTGGTGGTCTAGTGGTTAGGATTCGGCGCTCTCACCGCCGCGGCCCGGGTTCGATTCCCGGTCAGGGAATACACTCTTTGAACATCTGCTGTCCTCTCTGAATAGTGAAGCTTGGTCACGGTGGGGGTGCCATGTCAGGCTTGTGGCTTTGATGAAAAAGGACATTGTCAGTGCTCTTCCACGTTGTCCCCCATATCTCAAAAAATACAACTTACTGTACATGTACAATGACACCTTTGTACACTACCGTATCTTGCCAGTTTAGAGACCTCGTATTTTGGCACACTGTATTGCAGCCCTCCCAAAAAAGATTCATATCCAAACTGAGGCCTTAAGAGCAACTGCTTTGAACACAACCTCATTCGACTGCATACAAAGATATATCAAATTCACAGATGCTCTAGAAAAAACATGACCAACTCCCTGGTGGTCTAGTGGTTAGGATTCGGCGTTTTCACCGCCGCGGCCCGGGTTCGATTCCCGGTCAGGGAATACACTCTTTGAACATCTGGTGTCCTCTCTGTATAGTGAAGCTTGGTCACGGTGGGGGTGCCATGTCAGGCTTGTGGCTTTGATGAAAAAGGACACTGTCATTGCTCTTCCACGTTGTCCCCCATATCTCAAAAAATACAACTTACTGTACATGTACAATGACACCTTTGTTCACAACTGTATCTTGCCAGTTTAGAGACCTCTTATTTTGGCACACTGTATTGCAGCCCTCCCAAAAAAGATTCATATCCAACCTGAGGCCTTAAGAGCGAAAGCTTCGAACGCAACCTCATTCCACTGCAAACAAAGATACATCAAATTCACAGATGCTCTAGAAAAAACATGACCAACTCCCTGGTGGTCTAGTGGTTAGGATTCGGCGTTTTCCCCGCCGCGGCCCGGGTTCGATTCCCGGTCAGGGAATACACTCTTTGAACATCAGGGGCCTCATGTATCAACACTTGCGTGGAACTCATACCAGAAACAAGCGCACGCAAGGTCTGTAACGCTGAAAAAAATCCGTATGTATCAATGTGTGCGGGCGCCGAAATCCACGCGTGTTTCCTTGATACATCCCAATCAGCGTGGAAATGAGCGCAGATGTCGGAGTGACTGGGCCAGCCCCCCTTACGCCCTCCTATAAATATGCAGATTTATTTAAATAGGGTCTCCCTGTCCTCGCACGCAGACAAAATGACAAGAAAACCTAAATTTACGGCGTGCGAGGTGGAGGTGCTGGTGGCGGAGGTGGAGGAGCGACAGCGTGTTTTGTTTGGCAGCCTGTCCAGTGGCGTCAGTGCAAAACGAAAACGCTTGGAGTGGGAGAAAGTTTGTCAGAGGGTGAACGCGGTGGGTTCAGAGACACGCAGCCCCGCGGAGATTAAAAAAAGTGGTCGGACCTCAAGGTGGAGGTCAAGCGGCGTACAGCTGCCCTCCGGAGGAGTACCGGCCAGACAGGTGGGGGTCCGGGGGAGGAGACCCTCACGCCGTTTGAGCAGCGGGTGGTGGCGATTATGGGGGGTGCCTCTGTGGGGGGGATTGTCGCCGCTACCCGCGGCGACTCAGACAGCCTGCTGGAGGGTAAGTAGCGTGTCACACAAATGTCCACATGCTTTGCCATAGATGTAAACGCAACAGATACACAGAAGCAGGAATTGAAATGAACAAATATTTTTATTGTGTCACAGAAATCAATGTGTCGGCCGAGTCGCCGGCTTGTGGAACCCCGGCCCGCGGCAGCCCGTCCGCCGGCTCGGAGTCGTCGGCCAGGACCAGCGGCATTCGGGCCGCCCCCGGCCCCAGCACCAGCGCGCCGACAAGCAATGGAGCGTCCACCAGGCGCGGCGCTTCCGCTGGACCACCCGGACACAGTGGAAGGGTCCTCACGGAGGCGGTCCTGCAATCACAGGAACAAATAATTAGGGGGATCGCGGGGATCAATGAGCGGCTGGACCGCCTCGTCAATGTCCTCGAGCGTCTGGTGGACAAAATAAAATAATTTGGCTCATTAAACTGTGTATTCACTTCTTACCCATTCACATTGTGGCGATGAGATTCTCCCGCGCGAGGACGGCGGCCCGGCAGGGATCAGCTCGCATCCCTCCGTCTGCTGCTGGATCATCATTTGGGGCGACGTGCTGCTCAGCCATGGGGATGTGGTGCAGTTGTGCCACATTGTGAAGGACGCCACACGCCATCACAATGCGGCACACCTTCTCCGGACGATACAGAAGCATGCCGCCACTCCGGTCCAGACAGCGCCACCGACCCTTTAACTGGCCGATGGCCCTCTCCACCACTGACCGAGAGCGAGAGTGGAGATGGTTGTACCTCCGCTCTCGGTCAGTGTGGGGGTTGTGGAGAGGGGTCATCAGCCAGGTCCTGAGGGGGTAGCCACTGTCACCTTCAGAAAAAGCACAGTGTGTTAAGTCTTGGGCTTGATGCGTTGTAATAATAGCAAGCAATAAGCAATCAATAACCCAGAACATCCATCGAGTACTCGCAATCAAACGCAGAGAACAATATATCAGCGTTGCACACATTTAGTTCAAGTCACTGATGCACGTCAAGTTTTTGAATAACATTATATCATTACATATTTACTCACCCAGCAGCCACCCGTCTGTAACTGCACCTGCCTGGAGCCTCTCCCCAACAGTGCTGTTGTACATGATGTGCGAGTCGTGCGTTGAACCGGGCCACCTCGCAACAATGTTGAGCAGATTCATCTGTGCATCACAGATGATCTGCACATTGATGGAGTGAACGCCTTTTCGGTTGACGTAAGCGTACTCGTCAAGGGACGGCGCTTTTATGGCAACATGAGTGCAGTCAATAGCTCCGATTACGTTTGGGAATCCGGCTATTGCTGCAAATTGCGTTTTAATATTGGCCTGTTCAACCGCACCGTAGGGGAATTTAATATACCTGTTAGAGAGGCGGATCAGCTGGTCCACCACCGTAGGCATGGCCCGGCTGATGGTGGACTGGCTCACCCCAGCACGGTCCGCCATCTCCCGCTGGAAGGATCCTGTGGCCAAGTAGCCGAGTGTGCCCAGCACCAGCGTTGGCACGGGCACCGCTCGGCTTCTGGCCGTTGATCGCTCCAGCGCCGGCCGGAGCTCCTCGCACAGCTCCAGGAGGATGGCCCGCGGTAGCCGGAACCGGCTCATGAGCCATTCGTCGGTATTCTGGAGCAGGTCCTCCCGCTCCATAAAATGACGCTCACGTCAGATGGCACGGTTATAAATATCTTCGATCAGCGCAAGTGCTGCCATTGTTGAATGTTGTCTTCTGTATGTGTAGTTGTATGCGCTCTTTTATAGCCCCTCCAGTAATACCGACAGGTGTTCGTGTTTGTGTTAATGTGTTACAAATTAAAACAATTAACACACGAACAGCTGTCGGATTAACAATTAATCCACTGCAATGTGTGGACGCTTGTCACATAGTGAGTCACCAAACACCGCCACACAGCGTCGCCAAAGTGCGAATCACAGTCAACGCAAATATCCAGCTCAACGCCAATTTCTACACCACCTCCTGACTTTGCGTTGATTAGCGCTGGAACCGACGCTCGTTTCGCGATGATAAATCTGGACGTGTGCGCCGATTTTGGCGTACGCAAGGTTTTCTTGCGCCGCAAGCGTTGATACATGAGGCCCCTGGTGTCCTCTCTGAATACTGAAGCTTGGTCACGGTGGGGGTGCCATGTCAGGCTTGTGGCTTTGATGAAAAAGGACATTGTCAGTGCTCTTCCACATTGTCCCCGATATCTAAAAAAATACAACTTACTGTACATTTACAATGACACCTTTGTACACTACTGTATCTTGCCAGTTTAGAGACCTCGTATTTTGGCACACTGTATTGCAGCCCTCCCAAAAAAAATTCATATCCAAACTGAGGCCTTAAGAGCGAAAGCTTTGAATGCAACCTCATTCGACTGCAAACAAAGATATATCAAATTCACAGATGCTCTAGAAAAAACATGACCAACTCCCTGGTGGTCTAGTGGTTAGGATTCGGCGCTCTCACCGCCGCGGCCCGGGTTCGATTCCCAGTCAGGAAATACACTCTTTGAACATCTGGTGTCCTCTCTGTATAGTGAAGCTTGGTCACGGTGGGGGTGCCATGTCAGGCTTGTGGCTTTGATGAAAAAGGACATTGTCAGTCCTCTTCCACGTTGTCCCCCATATCTCAAAAAATACAACTTACTGTACATGTACAATGACACCTTTGTACACTATTGTATCTTGCCAGTTTAGAGACCTCTTATTTTGGCACACTGTATTGCAGCCCTCCCAAAAAAGATTCATATCCAAACTGAGGCCTTAAGAGCAACTGCTTTGAACGCAACCTCATTCGACTGCAAACAAAGATATATCAAATTCACAGATGCTCTAGAAAAAACATGACCAACTCCCTGGTGGTCTAGTGGTTAGGATTCGGCGCTCTCACCGCCGCGGCCCGGGTTCGATTCCCGGTCAGGGAATACACTCTTTGAACATCTCGTGTCCTCTCCGTATAGTGAAGCTTGGTCACGGTGGGGGTGCCATGTCAGGCTTGTGGCTTTGATGAAAAAGGACATTGTCAGTGCTCGTCCACATTGTCCCCCATATCTCAAAAAATACAACTTACTGTACATGTACAATGACACCTTTGTACACTACTGTATCTTGCCAGTTTAGAGACCTCGTATTTTGGCACACTGTATTGCAGCCCTCCCAAAAAAAATTCATATCCAAACTGAGGCCTTAAGAGCGAAAGCTTTGAATGCAACCTCATTCGACTGCAAACAAAGATATATCAAATTCACAGATGCTCTAGAAAAAACATGACCAACTCCCTGGTGGTCTAGTGGTTAGGATTCGGCGTTTTCACCGCCGCGGCCCGGGTTCGATTCCCGGTCAGGGAATACACTCTTTGAACATCTGGTGTCCTCTCTGTATAGTGAAGCTTGGTCACGGTGGGGGTGCCATGTCAGGCTTGTGGCTCTGATGAAAAAGGACATTGTCAGTGCTCTTCCAAATTGTCCCCCATATCTCAAAAAATACAACTTACTGTACATGTACAATGACACCTTTGTGCACTACTGTATCTTGCCAGTTTAGAGACCTTGGATTTTGGCACACTGTATTGCAGCCCTCCCAAAAAAAATTCATATCCAAACTGAGGCCTTAAGAGCGAAAGCTTTGAATGCAACCTCATTCGACTGCAAACAAAGATATATCAAATTCACAGATGCTCTAGAAAAAACATGACCAACTCCCTGGTGGTCTAGTGGTTAGGATTCGGCGCTCTCACCGCCGCGGCCCGGGTTCGATTCCCGGTCAGGGAATACACTCTTTGAACATCTGGTGTCCTCTCTGTATAGTGAAGCTCTGTCACGGTGGGGGTGCCATGTCAGGCTTGTGGCTTTGATGAAAAAGGACACTGTCAGTGCTCTTCCACGTTGTCCCCCATATCTCAAAAAATACAACTTACTGTACATGTACAATGACACCTTTGTACACTACCGTATCTTGCCAGTTTAGAGACCTCGTATTTTGGCACACTGTATTGCAGCCCTCCCAAAAAAGATTCATATCCAAACTGAGGCCTTAAGAGCAACTGCTTTGAACACAACCTCATTCGACTGCATACAAAGATATATCAAATTCACAGATGCTCTAGAAAAAACATGACCAACTCCCTGGTGGTCTAGTGGTTAGGATTCGGCGTTTTCACCGCCGCGGCCCGGGTTCGATTCCCGGTCAGGGAATACACTCTTTGAACATCTGGTGTCCTCTCTGTATAGTAAAGCTTGGTCACGGTGGGGGTGCCATGTCAGGCTTGTGGCTTTGATGAAAAAGGACATTGTCAGTGCCCTTCCACGTTGTCCCCCATATCTCAAAAAATACAACTTACTGTACATGTACAATGACACCTTTGTACACTGTTGTATCTTGCCAGTTTAGAGACCTTGTATTTTGGCACACTGTATTGCAGCCCTCCCAAAAAAGATTCATATCCAAACTGAGGCCTTAAGAGCAACTGCTTTGAACACAACCTCATTCGACTGCATACAAAGATATATCAAATTCACAGATGCTCTAGAAAAAACATGACCAACTCCCTGGTGGTCTAGTGGTTAGGATTCGGCGCTCTCACCGCCGCGGCCCGGGTTCGATTCCCGGTCAGGGAATACACTCTTTGAACATCTGCTGTCCTCTCTGAATACTGAAGCTTGGTCACGGTGGGGGTGCCATGTCAGGCTTGTGGCTTTGATGAAAAAGGACATTGTCAGTGCTCTTCCACGTTGTCCCCCATATCTCAAAAAATACAACTTACTGTACATGTACAATGACACCTTTGTACACTGTTGAATCTTGCCACTTTAAAGATCGCTTATTTTGGCACACTGTATTGCAGCCCTCCCAAAAAAGATTCATATCCAAACTGAGGCCTTAAGAGCAACTGCTTTGAACACAACCTCATTCGACTGCATACAAAGATATATCAAATTCACAGATGCTCTAGAAAAAACATGACCAACTCCCTGGTGGTCTAGTGGTTAGGATTCGGCGCTCTCACCGCCGCGGCCCGGGTTCGATTCCCGGTCAGGGAATACACTCTTTGAACATCTGCTGTCCTCTCTGAATACTGAAGCTTGGTCACGGTGGGGGTGCCATGTCAGGCTTGTGGCTTTGATGAAAAAGGACATTGTCAGTGCTCTTCCAAATTGTCCCCCATATCTCAAAAAATACAACTTACTGTACATGTACAATGACACCTTTGTGCACTACTGTATCTTGCCAGTTTAGAGACCTTGTATTTTGGCACACTGTATTGCAGCCCTCCCAAAAAAGATTCATATCCAAACTGAGGCCTTAAGAGCAACTGCTTTGAACACAACCTCATTCGACTGCATACAAAGATATATCAAATTCACAGATGCTCTAGAAAAAACATGACCAACTCCCTGGTGGTCTAGTGGTTAGGATTCGGCGTTTTCACCGCCGCGGCCCGGGTTCGATTCCCGGTCAGGGAATACACTCATTGAACATCTGGTGTCCTCTCTGTATAGTGAAGCTTGGTCACGGTGGGGGTGCCATGTCAGGCTTGTGGCTTTGATGAAAAAGGACATTGTCAGTGCCCTTCCACGTTGTCCCCCATATCTCAAAAAATACAACTTACTGTACATGTACAATGACACGTTTGTACACTGTTGTATCTTGCCGGTTTAGAGACCTTGTATTTTGGCACACTGTATTGCAGCCCTCCCAAAAAAGATTCATATCCAAACTGAGGCCTTAAGAGCAACTGCTTTGAACACAACCTCATTCGACTGCAAACAAAGATATATCAAATTCACAGATGCTCTAGAAAAAACATGACCAACTCCCTGGTGGTCTAGTTGTTAGGATTCGGCGCTCTCACCGCCGCGGCCCGGGTTCGATTCCCGGTCAGGGAATACACTCTTTGAACATCTGGTGTCCTCTCTGTATAGTGAAGCTTGGTCACGGTGGGGGTGCCATGTCAGGCTTGTGGCTTTGATGAAAAAGGACATTGACAGTGCTCTTCCACATTGTCCCCCATATCTCAAAAAATACAACTTACTGTACATGTACAATGACACCTTTGTACACTACCGTATCTTGCCAGTTTAGAGACCTCGTATTTTGGCACACTGTATTGCAGCCCTTCCAAAAAAGATTCATATCCAAACTGAGGCCTTAAGAGCAACTGCTTTGAACGCAACCTCATTCAACTGCATACAAAGATATATCAAATTCAAAGATCCTCTAGAAAAAACATGACCAACTCCCTGGTGGTCTAGTGGTTAGGATTCGGCGCTCTCACCGCCGCGGCCCGGGTTCGATTGCTGGTCAGGGAATACACTCTTTGAACATCTGGTGTCCTCTCTGTATAGTAAAAATTGGTCACTGTGGGGGTGCCATGTCAGGCTTGTGGCTTTGATGAAAAAGGACATTGTCAGTGCTCTTCCATGTTGTCCCCCATATCTCAAAAAATACAACTTACTGTACATGTACAATGACACCTTTGTGCACTACTGTATCTTGCCATTTTAGAGACCTTGTATTTTGGCACACTGTATTGCAGCCCTCCCAAAAAAAATTCATATCCAAACTGAGGCCTTAAGAGCGAAAGCTTTGAATGCAACCTCATTCGACTGCATACAAAGATATATCAAATTCACAGATGCTCTAGAAAAAACATGACCAACTCCCTGGTGGTCTAGTGGTTAGGATTCGGCGCTCTCACCGCCGCGGCCCGGGTTCGATTCCCGGTCAGGGAATACACTCTTTGAACATCTGGTGTCCTCTCTGTATAGTGAAGCTTGTTCACGGTGGGGGTGCCATGTCAGGCTTGTGGCTTTGATGAAAAAGGACATTGTCAGTGCTCTTCCACGTTGTCCCCCATATCTCAAAAAATACAACTTACTGTACATGTACAATGACACCTTTGTACACTACCGTATCTTGCCAGTTTAGAGACCTCGTATTTTGGCACACTGTATTGCAGCCCTCCCAAAAAAATTCATATCCAAACTGAGGCCTTAAGAGCAACTGCTTTTAACACAACCTCATTCGACTGCATACAAAGATATATCAAATTCACAGATGCTCTAGAAAAAACATGACCAACTCCCTGGTGGTCTAGTGGTTAGGATTCGGCGTTTTCACCGCCGCGGCCCGGGTTCGATTCCCGGTCAGGGAATACACTCTTTGAACATCTGGTGTCCTCTCTGTATAGTGAAGCTTGGTCACGGTGGGGGTGCCATGTCAGGCTTGTGGCTTTGATGAAAAAGGACATTGTCAGTGCTCTTCCACGTTGTCCCCCATATCTCAAAAAATACAACTTACTGTACATGTACAATGACACCTTTGTACACTACCATATCTTGCCAGTTTAGAGACCTCGTATTTTGGCACACTGTATTGCAGCCCTCCCAAAAAAGATTCATATCCAAACTGAGGCCTTAAGAGCAACTGCTTTAACACAACCTCATTCGACTGCATACAAAGATATATCAAATTCACAGATGCTCTAGAAAGAACATGACCAACTCCCTGGTGGTCTAGTGGTTAGGATTCGGCGTTTTCACCGCCGCGGCCCGGGTTCGATTCCCGGTCAGGGAATACACTCTTTGAACATCTGGTGTCCTCTCTGTATAGTGAAGCTTGGTCACGGTGGGGGTGCCATGTCAGGCTTGTGGCTTTGATGAAAAAGGACATTGTCAGTGCCCTTCCACGTTGTCCCCCATATCTCAAAAAATACAACTTACTGTACATGTACAATGACACCTTTGTACACTGTTGTATCTTGCCAGTTTAGAGACCTTGTATTTTGGCACACTGTATTGCAGCCCTCCCAAAAAAGATTCATATCCAAACTGAGGCCTTAAGAGCAACTGCTTTGAACACAACCTCATTCGACTGCATACAAAGATATATCAAATTCAAAGATGCTCTAGAAAAAACATGACCAACTCCCTGGTGGTCTAGTGGTTAGGATTCGGCGTTTTCAACGCCGCGGCCCGCGTTCGATTCCCGGTCAGGGAATACACTCTTTGAACATCTGGTGTCCTCTCTGTATAGTGAAGCTTGGTCACGGTGGGGGTGCCATGTCAGGCTTGTGGCTTTGATGAAAAAGGACATTGTCAGTGCTCTTCCAAATTGTCCCCCATATCTCCAAAAATACAACTTACTGTACATGTACAATGACACCTTTTTGCACTACTGTATCTTGCCAGTTTAGAGACCTTGTATTTTGGCACACTGTATTGCAGCCCTCCCAAAAAAAATTCATATTCAAACTGAGGCCTTAAGAGCGAAAGCTTTGAATGCAACCTCATTCGACTGCATACAAAGATATATCAAATTCACAGATGCTCTAGAAAGAACATGACCAACTCCCTGGTGGTCTAGTGGTTAGGATTCGGCGCTCTCACCGCCGCGGCCCGGTTTCGATTCCCGGTCAGGGAATACACTCTTTGAACATCTGGTGTCCTCTCTGTATAGTGAAGCTTGGTCACGGTGGGGGTGCCATGTCAGGCTTGTGGCTTTGATGAAAAAGGACATTGTCAGTGCTCTTCCACGTTGTCCCCCATATCTCAAAAAATACAACTTACTGTACATGTACAATGACACCTTTGTACACTACCGTATCTTGCCAGTTTAGAGACCTCGCATTTTGGCACACTGTATTGCAGCCCTCCCAAAAAAGATTCATATCCAAACTGAGGCCTTAAGAGCAACTGCTTTTAACACAACCTCATTCGACTGCATACAAAGATATATCAAATTCACAGATGCTCTAGAAAAAACATGACCAACTCCCTGGTGGTCTAGTGGTTAGGATTCGGCGTTTTCACCGCCGCGGCCCGGGTTCGATTCCCGGTCAGGGAATACAGTCTCTGAACATCTGGTGTCCTCTCTGTATAGTGAAGCTTGGTCACGGTGGGGGTGCCATGTCAGGCTTGTGGCTTTGATGAAAAAGGACATTGTCAGTGCTGCTCCAAATTGTCCCCCATATCTCAAAAAATACAACTTACTGTACATGTACAATGACACCTTTGTGCACTACTGTATCTTGCCAGTTTACAGACCGTGTATTTTGGCACACTGTATTGCAGCCCTCCCAAAAAAGATTCATATCCAAACTGAGGCCTTAAGAGCAACTGCTTTTAACACAACCTCATTCGACTGCAAACAAAGATATATCAAATTCACAGATGCTCTAGAAAAAACATGACCAACTCCCTGGTGGTCTAGTGGTTAGGATTCGGCGTTTTCACCGCCGCGGCCCGGGTTCGATTCCCGGTCAGGGAATACACTCTTTGAACATCTGGTGTCCTCTCTGAATACTGAAGCTTGGTCACGGTGGGGGTGCCATGTCAGGCTTGTGGCTTTGATGAAAAAGGACATTGTCAGTGCTCTTCCACGTTGTCACCCAAATCTCAAAAAATACAACTTACTGTACATGTACAATGACACCTATGTACACTACTGTATCTTGCCACTTTAGAGACCTCATATTTTGGCACACTGTATTGCAGCCCTCCCAAAAAAGATTCATATCCAAACTGAGGCCTTAAGAGCAACTGCTTTTAACACAACCTCATTCGACTGCATACAAAGATATATCAAATTCACAGATGCTCTAGAAAAAACATGACCAACTCCCTGGTGGTCTAGTGGTTAGGATTCGGCGTTTTCACCGCCGCGGCCCGGGTTCGATTCCCGGTCAGGGAATACAGTCTTTGAACATCTGGTGTCCTCTCTGTATAGTGAAGCTTGGTCACGGTGGGGGTGCCATGTCAGGCTTGTGGCTTTGATGAAAAAGGACATTGTTAGTGCTCTTCCACGTTGTCCCCCATATCTCAAAAAATACAACTTACTGTACATGTACAATGACACCTTTGTACACTACCGTATCTTGCCAGTTTAGAGACCTCGTATTTTGGCACACTGTATTGCAGCCCTCCCAAAAAAGATTCATATCCAAACTGAGGCCTTAAGAGCAACTGCTTTTAACACAACCTCATTCGACTGCATACAAAGATATATCAAATTCACAGATGCTCTAGAAAAAACATGACCAACTCCCTGGTGGTCTAGTGGTTAGGATTCGGCGTTTTCACCGCCGCGGCCCGGGTTCGATTCCCGGTCAGGGAATACACTCTTTGAACATCTGGTGTCCTCTCTGTATAGTGAAGCTTGGTCACGGTGGGGGTGCCATGTCAGGCTTGTGGCTTTGATGAAAAAGGACATTGTCAGTGCTCTTCCACGTGTGTCCCCCATATCTCAAAAATACAACTTACTGTACATGTACAATGACACCTTTGTACACTACCATATCTTGCCAGTTTAGAGACCTCGTATTTTGGCACACTGTATTGCAGCCCTCCCAAAAAAGATTCATATCCAAACTGAGGCCTTAAGAGCAACTGCTTTAACACAACCTCATTCGACTGCATACAAAGATATATCAAATTCACAGATGCTCTAGAAAAAACATGACCAACTCCCTGGTGGTCTAGTGGTTAGGATTCGGCGCTCTCACCGCCGCGGCCCGGGTTCGATTCCCGGTCAGGGAATACACTCTTTGAACATCTGGTGTCCTCTCTGTATAGTGAAGCTTGGTCACGGTGGGGGTGCCATGTCAGGCTTGTGGCTTTGATGAAAAAGGACATTGTCAGTGCTCTTCCACGTTGTCCCCCATATCTCAAAAAATACAACTTACTGTACATGTACAATGACACCTTTGTACACTACCGTATCTTGCCAGTTTAGAGACCTCGTATTTTGGCACACTGTATTGCAGCCCTCCCAAAAAAGATTCATATCCAAACTGAGGCCTTAAGAGCAACTGCTTTGAACACAACCTCATTCGACTGCATACAAAGATATATCAAATTCAAAGATGCTCTAGAAAAAACATGACCAACTCCCTGGTGGTCTAGTGGTTAGGATTCGGCGGTTTTACCGCCGCGGCCCGGGTTCGATTCCCGGTCAGGGAATACACTCTTTGAACATCTGGTGTCCTCTCTGAATACTGAAGCTTGGTCACGGTGGGGGTGCCATGTCAGGCTTGTGGCTTTGATGAAAAAGGACATTGTCAGTGCTCTTCCACGTTGTCACCCAAATCTCAAAAAATACAACTTACTGTACATGTACAATGACACCTTTGTACACTACTGTATCTTGCCACTTTAGAGACCTCATATTTTGGCACACTGTATTGCAGCCCTCCCAAAAAAGATTCATCTCCAAACTGAGGCCTTAAGAGCAACTGCTTTTAACACAACCTCATTCGACTGCATACAAAGATATATCAAATTCACAGATGCTCTAGAAAAAACATGACCAACTCCCTGGTGGTCTAGTGGTTAGGATTCGGCGTTTTCACCGCCGCGGCCCGGGTTCGATTGCTGGTCAGGGAATACACTCTTTGAACATCTGGTGTCCTCTCTGTATAGTAAAAATTGGTCACTGTGGGGGTGCCATGTCAGGCTTGTGGCTTTGATGAAAAAGGACAATGACACCTTTGTGCACTACTGTATCTTGCCAGTTTAGAGACCTTGTATTTTGGCACACTGTATTGCAGCCCTCCCAAAAAAAATTCATATCCAAACTGAGGCCTTAAGAGCGAAAGCTTTGAATGCAACCTCATTCGACTGCAAACAAAGATATATCAAATTCACAGATGCTCTAGAAAAAACATGACCAACTCCCTGGTGGTCTAGTGGTTAGGATTCGGCGCTCTCACCGCCGCGGCCCGGGTTCGATTCCCGGTCAGGGAATACACTCTTTGAACATCTGGTGTCCTCTCTGTATAGTGAAGCTTGGTCACGGTGGGGGTGCCATGTCAGGCTTGTGGCTTTGATGAAAAAGGACATTGTCAGTGCCCTTCCACGTTGTCCCCCATATCTCAAAAAATACAACTTACTGTACATGTACAATGACACCTTTGTACACTGTTGTATCTTGCCAGTTTAGAGACCTTGTATTTTGGCACACTGTATTGCAGCCCTCCCAAAAAAGATTCATATCCAAACTGAGGCCTTAAGAGCAACTGCTTTGAACACAACCTCATTCGACTGCATACAAAGATATATCAAATTCAAAGATGCTCTAGAAAAAACATGACCAACTCCCTGGTGGTCTAGTGGTTAGGATTCGGCGTTTTCAACGCCGCGGCCCGGGTTCGATTCCCGGTCAGGGAATACACTCTTTGAACATCTGGTGTCCTCTCTGTATAGTGAAGCTTGGTCACGGTGGGGGTGCCATGTCAGGCTTGTGGCTTTGATGAAAAAGGACATTGTCAGTGCTCTTCCAAATTGTCCCCCATATCTCAAAAAATACAACTTACTGTACATGTACAATGACACCTTTGTGCACTACTGTATCTTGCCAGTTTAGAGACCTTGTATTTTGGCACACTGTATTGCAGCCCTCCCAAAAAAAATTCATATCCAAACTGAGGCCTTAAGAGCGAAAGCTTTGAATGCAACCTCATTCGACTGCATACAAAGATATATCAAATTCACAGATGCTCTAGAAAGAACATGACCAACTCCCTGGTGGTCTAGTGGTTAGGATTCGGCGCTCTCACCGCCGCGGCCCGGTTTCGATTCCCGGTCAGGGAATACACTCTTTGAACATCTGGTGTCCTCTCTGTATAGTGAAGCTTGGTCACGGTGGGGGTGCCATGTCAGGCTTGTGGCTTTGATGAAAAAGGACATTGTCAGTGCTCTTCCACGTTGTCCCCCATATCTCAAAAAATACAACTTACTGTACATGTACAATGACACCTTTGTACACTACCGTATCTTGCCAGTTTACAGACCTCGCATTTTGGCACACTGTATTGCAGCCCTCCCAAAAAAGATTCATATCCAAACTGAGGCCTTAAGAGCAACTGCTTTTAACACAACCTCATTCGACTGCATACAAAGATATATCAAATTCACAGATGCTCTAGAAAAAACATGACCAACTCCCTGGTGGTCTAGTGGTTAGGATTCGGCGTTTTCACCGCCGCGGCCCGGGTTCGATTGCTGGTCAGGGAATACAGTCTTTGAACATCTGGTGTCCTCTCTGTATAGTGAAGCTTGGTCACGGTGGGGGTGCCATGTCAGGCTTGTGGCTTTGATGAAAAAGGACATTGTCAGTGCTCCTCCAAATTGTCCCCCATATCTCAAAAAATACAACTTACTGTACATGTACAATGACACCTTTGTGCACTACTGTATCTTGCCAGTATACAGACTGTGTATTTTGGCACACTGTATTGCAGCCCTCCCAAAAAAGATTCATATCCAAACTGAGGCCTTAAGAGCAACTGCTTTGAACACAACCTCATTCGACTGCATACAAAGATATATCAAATTCACAGATGCTCTAGAAAAAACATGACCAACTCCCTGGTGGTCTAGTGGTTAGGATTCGGCGCTCTCACCGCCGCGGCCCGGGTTCGATTCCCGGTCAGGGAATACACTCTTTGAACATCTGGTGTCCTCTCTGAATACTGAAGCTTGGTCACGGTGGGGGTGCCATGTCAGGCTTGTGGCTTTGATGAAAAAGGACATTGTCAGTGCTCTTCCACGTTGTCACCCAAATCTCAAAAAATACAACTTACTGTACATGTACAATGACACCTATGTACACTACTGTATCTTGCCACTTTAGAGACCTCATATTTTGGCACACTGTATTGCAGCCCTCCCAAAAAAGATTCATATCCAAACTGAGGCCTTAAGAGCAACTGCTTTGAACACAACCTCATTCGACTGCATACAAAGATATATCAAATTCACAGATGCTCTAGAAAACCCATGACCAACTCCCTGGTGGTCTAGTGGTTAGGATTCGGCGTTTTCACCGCCGCGGCCGGGGTTCGATTCCCGGTCAGGGAATACACTCTTTGAACATCTGGTGTCCTCTCTGTATAGTGAAGCTTGGTAACGATGGGGGTGCCATGTCAGGCTTGTGGCTTTGATGAAAAAGGACATTCACAGTGCTCTTCCACATTGACCCCCATATCTCAAAAAATACAACTTACTGTACATGTACAATGACACCTTTGTACACTACCGTATCTTGCCAGTGTAGAGACCTCGTATTTTGGCACACTGTATTGCAGCCCTTCCAAAAAAGATTCATATCCAAACTGAGGCCTTAAGAGCAACTGCTTTGAACACAACCTCATTCGACTGCATACAAAGATATATCAAATTCAAAGATCCTCTAGAAAAAACATGACCAACTCCCTGGTGGTCTAGTGGTTAGGATTCGGTGCTCTCACCGCCGCGGCCCGGGTTCGATTCCCGGTCAGGGAATACACTCTTTGAACATCTGGTGTCCTCTCTGTATAGTGAAAATTGGTCACGGTGGGTGTGCCATGTCAGGCTTGTGGCTTTGATGAAAAAGGACATTGTCAGTGCTCTTCCACGTTGTCCCCCATATCTCAAAAAATACAACTTACTGTACATGTACAATGACACCTTTGTGCACTACTGTATCTTGCCAGTTTAGAGACCTTGTATTTTGGCACACTGTATTGCAGCCCTCCCAAAAAAGATTCATATCCAAACTGAGGCCTTAAGAGCGAAAGCTTTGAATGCAACCTCATTCGACTGCAAACAAAGATATATCAAATTCACAGATGCTCTAGAAAAAACATGACCAACTCCCTGGTGGTCTAGTGGTTAGGATTCGGCGCTCTCACCGCCGCGGCCCGGGTTCGATTCCCGGTCAGGGAATACACTCTTTGAACATCTGGTGTCCTCTCTGTATAGTGAAGCTTGGTCACGGTGGGGGTGCCATGTCAGGCTTGTGGCTTTGATGAAAAAGGACATTGTCAGTGCTCTTCCACGTTGTCCCCCATATCTCAAAAAATACAACTTACTGTACATGTACAATGACACCTTTGTACACTACGTATCTTGCCAGTTTAGAGACCTCGTATTTTGGCACACTGTATTGCAGCCCTCCCAAAAAAGATTCCTATCCAAACTGAGGCCTTAAGAGCAACTGCTTTTAACACAACCTCATTCGACTGCATACAAAGTGTTGAGATGTGCTCTCATTTCATTTTTGTTTCTAGACGTCATTCTTTTTGTCACTACCTTGTCAATCTAGACGTCATGTCATGTGATCCTAATCAGTGAATTGGTCACAGGTATGCTGTCTCTAATTAAAACAGCTGAGCCCGTGCGTGCGCGTTGGCTCACTCAGAGAGAAACACTCGTGTGTTATGTGTGTTTTTTCGCTAAACGTTGTGCAGGAAAAACCCACTCTGCTAACACAAAGATATATCAAATTCACAGATGCTCTAGAAAAAACATGACCAACTCCCTGGTGGTCTAGTGGTTAGGATTCGGCGTTTTCACCGCCGCGGCCCGGGTTCGATTCCCGGTCAGGGAATACACTCTTTGAACATCTGCTGTCCTCTCTGAATACTGAAGCTTGGTCACGGTGGGGGTGCCATGTCAGGCTTGTGGCTTTGATGAAAAAGGACATTGTCAGTGCTCTTCCACGTTGTCACCCAAATCTCAAAAAATACAACTTACTATACATGTACAATGACACCTATGTACACTACTGTATCTTGCCACTTTACAGACCTCATATTTTGGCACACTGTATTGCAGCCCTCCCAAAAAAGATTCATATCCAAACTGAGGCCTTAAGAGCAACTGCTTTGAACACAACCTCATTTGACTGCATACAAAGATATATCAAATTCACAGATGCTCTAGAAAACCCATGACCAACTCCCTGGTGGTCTAGTGGTTAGGATTCGGCGTTTTCACCGCCGCGGCCCGGGTTCGATTCCCGGTCAGGGAATACACTCTTTGAACATCTGGTGTCCTCTCTGTATAGTGAAGCTTGGTCACGGTGGGGGTGCCATGTCAGGCTTGTGGCTTTGATGAAAAAGGACATTGACAGTGCTCTTCCACATTGTCCCCCATATCTCAAAAAATACAACTTACTGTACATGTACAATGACACCTTTGTACACTACCGTATCTTGCCAGTTTAGAGACCTCGTATTTTGGCACACTGTATTGCAGCCCTTCCAAAAAAGATTCATATCCAAACTGAGGCCTTAAGAGCAACTGCTTTGAACACAACCTCATTCGACTGCATACAAAGATATATCAAATTCAAAGATGCTCTAGAAAAAACATGACCAACTCCCTGGTGGTCTAGTGGTTAGGATTCGGCGCTCTCACCGCCGCGGCCCGGGTTCGATTCCCGGTCAGGGAATACACTCTTTGAACATCTGGTGTCCTCTCTGTATACTGAAAATTGGTCACGGTGGGGGTGCCATGTCAGGCTTGTGGCTTTGATGAAAAAGGACATTGTCAGTGCTCTTCCACGTTGTCCCCCATATCTCAAAAAATACAACTTACTGTACATGTACAATGACACCTTTGTGCACTACTGTATCTTGCCAGTTTAGAGACCTTGTATTTTGGCACACTGTATTGCAGCCCTCCCCAAAAAAATTCATATCCAAACTGAGGCCTTAAGAGCGAAAGCTTTGAATGCAACCTCATTCGACTGCATACAAAGATATATCAAATTCACAGATGCTCTAGAAAAAACATGACCAACTCCCTGGTGGTCTAGTGGTTAGGATTCGGCGCTCTCACCGCCGCGGCCCGGGTTCGATTCCCGGTCAGGGAATACACTCTTTGAACATCTGGGGCCTCATGTATCAACACTTGCGTGGAACTCATACCAGAAACGAGCGCACGCAAGGTCCGTCACGCTGAAAAAAATCCGTATGTATCAATGTGTGCGGGCGCCGAAATCCACGTGTGTTTCCTTGATAAATCCCAATCAGCGTGGAATTGAGCGCAGATGTCGGAGTGACTGGGCCCGTCCCCGTTACGCCCTCCTATAAATATGCAGATTTATTTAAATAGGGTCTCCCTGTCCTCGCACGCAGACAAAATGACAAGAAAAACTACATTTACGGCGTGCGAGGTGGAGGTGCTGGTGGCGGAGGTGGAGGAGCGACAGCGTGTTTTGTTTGGCAGCCTGTCCAGTGGCGTCAGTGCAAAACAAAAACGCTTGGAGTGGGAGAAAGTTTGCGAGAGGGTGAATGCGGTGGGTTCCGAGACACGCACCCCCGCGGAGATTAAAAAAGTGGTCGGACCTCAAGGTGGAGGTCAAGCGGCGTACAGCTGCCCTCCGGAGGAGTACCGGCCAGACAGGTGGGGGTCCGGGGGAGGAGACCCTCACACCGTTTGAGCAGCGGGTGGTGGCGATTATTATTATAGGGTAAGTGGCGTGTCACACAAATGTCCACATGCTTTGTCATCCCACTGAGCAAAAGACGTATATTAGACGTCTAGTCTAAGTTTATACTTCATTTCAACGTCGGGATTCAGTCTATTTTTAGACGTGATTTATACTTCGCCCTTAACTTCATTTTTCAATAACTTTTTATGCAATAAACAACTGTAATGTGCATAACTGACCTCGAAATACTGGATTACATTACCTATGATACTGTGGAGAGAGATGTAAATGCAACAGATACACAGAAGCAGGAATTGAAATGAACAAATATTTTTATTGTGTCACAGAAATTAATGTGTCGGCCGTGTCGCCGGCTTGCGGAACCCCGGCCCGCGGCAGCCCGTCCGCCGGCTCGGAGTCGTCGGCCAGGACCAGCGGCATTCGGGCCACCCCGGCCCCAGCACCAGCATCAGCACCAGCGCGCCGACAAGCGGTGGAGCGTCCACCAGCCGCGGCGCTTCCGCTGGACCACCCGGACGCAGTGGAAGGGTCCTCGCGGAGGGGGTCCTGCAATCGCAGGAAGAAATCATCAGGGGGATCGCGGGGATCAACGAGCGGCTGGACCGGCTCGTAAATTTCCTCGAGCGTCTGGTGGAGAAAATAAATTAATTTGGCTCATTGAACTGTGTATTCACTTCTTACCCATTCACACTGTGGCGATGAGATTCTCCCGCGCGAGGACGGCGGCCCGGCAGGGATCAGCTCGCATCCCTCCGTCTGCTGCTGGTTCGTCATGTGGGGCGACGTGCTGCCCGGCCACGGGGATGTGGTGCACGCTTGTCACATAGTGAGTCACCAAACACCGCCACACAGCGTCGCCAAAGTGCAAATCACAGTCAACGCAAATATCCAGCTCAACGCCAATTTCTACACCACCTCCTGACTTTGCGTTGATTAGCGCTGGAACCGACGCTCGTTTCGCGATGATAAATCTGGACGTGTGCGCCGATTTTGGCGTACGCAAGGTTTTCTTGCGCCGCAAGCGTTGATACATGAGGCCCCTGGTGTCCTCTCTATATAGTGAAGCTTGGTCACGGTGGGGGTGCCATGTCAGGCTTGTGGCTTTGATGAAAAAGGACATTGTCAGTGCTCTTCCACGTTGTCCCCCATATCTCAAAAAATACAACTTACTGTACATGTACAATGACACCTTTGTACACTACCGTATCTTGCCAGTTTAGAGACCTCGTATTTTGGCACACTGTATTGCAGCCCTCCCAAAAAAAGATTCATATCCAAACTGAGGCCTTAAGAGCAACTGCTTTGAACACAACCTCATTCGACTGCATACAAAGATATATCAAATTCACAGATGCTCTAGAAAAAACATGACCAACTCCCTGGTGGTCTAGTGGTTAGGATTCGGCGCTCTCACCGCCGCGGCCCGGGTTCGATTCCCGGTCAGGGAATACACTCTTTGAACATCTGGTGTCCTCTCTGAATACTGAAGCTTGGTCACGGTGGGGGTGCCATGTCAGGCTTGTGGCTTTGATGAAAAAGGACATTGTCAGTGCTCTTCCACGTTGTCCCCCATATCTCAAAAAATACAACTTACTGTACATGTACAATGACACCTTTGTACACTACCGTATCTTGCCAGTTTAGAGACCTTGTATTTTGGCACACTGTATTGCAGCCCTCCCAAAAAAGATTCATATCCAAACTGAGGCCTTAAGAGCAACTGCTTTGAACACAACCTCATTCGACTGCATACAAAGATATATCAAATTCACAGATGCTCTAGAAAAAACATGACCAACTCCCTGGTGGTCTAGTGGTTAGGATTCGGCGTTGGCGTTTCACCGCCGCGGCCGGGTTCGATTCCCGGTCAGGGAATACACTCTTGAACATCTGGTGTCCTCTCTGTATAGTGAAGCTTGGTCACGGTGGGGGTGCCATGTCAGGCTTGTGGCTTTGATGAAAAAGGACATTGTCAGTGCTCTTCCACGTTGTCCCCCATATCTCAAAAAATACAACTTACTGTACATGTACAATGACACCTTTGTACACTGTTGTATCTTGCCAGTTTAGAGACCTCGTATTTTGGCACACTGTATTGCAGCCCTCCCAAAAAAAGATTCATATCCAAACTGAGGCCTTAAGAGCAACTGCTTTGAACACAACCTCATTCGACTGCATACAAAGATATATCAAATTCACAGATGCTCTAGAAAAACCATGACCAACTCCCTGGTGGTCTAGTGGTTAGGATTCGGCGCTCTCACCGCCGCGGCCAGGTTTCGATTCCCGGTCAGGGAATACACTCTTTGAACATCTGGTGTCCTCTCTGTATAGTGAAGCTTGGTCACGGTGGGGGTGCCATGTCAGGCTTGTGGCTTTGATGAAAAAGGACATTGTCAGTGCTCTTCCACGTTGTCACCCAAATCTCAAAAAATACAACTTACTGTACATGTACAATGACACCTATGTACACTACTGTATCTTGCCACTTTAGAGACCTTGTATTTTGGCACACTGTATTGCAGCCCTCCCAAAAAAGATTCATATCCAAACTGAGGCCTTAAGAGCAACTGCTTTGAACACAACCTCATTCGACTGCATACAAAGATATATCAAATTCACAGATGCTCTAGAAAACCCATGACCAACTCCCTGGTGGTCTAGTGGTTAGGATTCGGCGTTTTCACCGCCGCGGCCCGGGTTCGATTCCCGGTCAGGGAATACACTCTTTGAACATCTGGTGTCCTCTCTGTATAGTGAAGCTTGGTCACGGTGGGGGTGCCATGTCAGGCTTGTGGCTTTGATGAAAAAGGACATTGACAGTGCTCTTCCACATTGTCCCCCATATCTCAAAAAATACAACTTACTGTACATGTACAATGACACCTTTGTACACTACCGTATCTTGCCAGTTTAGAGACCTCATATTTTGGCACACTGTATTGCAGCCCTCCCAAAAAAGATTCATATCCAAACTGAGGCCTTAAGAGCAACTGCTTTGAACACAACCTCATTCGACTGCATACAAAGATATATCAAATTCAAAGATGCTCTAGAAAAAACATGACCAACTCCCTGGTGGTCTAGTGGTTAGGATTCGGCGTTTTCACCGCCGCGGCCCGGGTTCGATTCCCGGTCAGGGAATACACTCTTTGAACATCTGGTGTCCTCTCTGTATAGTGAAGCTTGGTCACGGTGGGGGTGCCATGTCAGGCTTGTGGCTTTGATGAAAAAGGACATTGTCAGTGCTCTTCCACGTTGTCCCCCATATCTCAAAAAATACAACTTACTGTACATGTACAATGACACCTTTGTACACTACCGTATCTTGCCAGTTTAGAGACCTCGTATTTTGGCACACTGTATTGCAGCCCTCCCAAAAAAGATTCATATCCAAACTGAGGCCTTAAGAGCAACTGCTTTGAACACAACCTCATTCGACTGCATACAAAGATATATCAAATTCAAAGATCCTCTAGAAAAAACATGACCAACTCCCTGGTGGTCTAGTGGTTAGGATTCGGCGCTCTCACCGCCGCGGCCCGGGTTCGATTCCCGGTCAGGGAATACACTCTTTGAACATCTGGTGTCCTCTCTGTATAGTGAAGCTTGGTCACGGTGGGGGTGCCATGTCAGGCTTGTGGCTTTGATGAAAAAGGACATTGTCAGTGCTCTTCCATGTTGTCCCCCATATCTCAAAAAATACAACTTACTGTACATGTACAATGACACCTTTGTGCACTACTGTATCTTGCCAGTTTAGAGACCTTGTATTTTGGCACACTGTATTGCAGCCCTCCCAAAAAGATTCATATCCAAACTGAGGCCTTAAGAGCGAAAGCTTTGAACAACCTCATTCGACTGCATACAAAGATATATCAAATTCACAGATGCTCTAGAAAAAACATGACCAACTCCCTGGTGGTCTAGTGGTTAGGATTCGGCGCTCTCACCGCCGCGGCCCGGGTTCGATTCCCGGTCAGGGAATACACTCTTTGAACATCTGGTGTCCTCTCTGTATAGTGAAGCTTGGTCACGGTGGGGGTGCCATGTCAGGCTTGTGGCTTTGATGAAAAAGGACATTGTCAGTGCTCTTCCACGTTGTCCCCCATATCTCAAAAAATACAACTTACTGTACATGTACAATGACACCTTTGTACACTACCGTATCTTGCCAGTTTAGAGACCTCGTATTTTGGCACACTGTATTGCAGCCCTCCCAAAAAAGATTCATATCCAAACTGAGGCCTTAAGAGCAACTGCTTTTAACACAACCTCATTCGACTGCATACAAAGATATATCAAATTCACAGATGCTCTAGAAAAAACATGACCAACTCCCTGGTGGTCTAGTGGTTAGGATTCGGCGTTTTCACCGCCGCGGCCCGGGTTCGATTCCCGGTCAGGGAATACACTCTTTGAACATCTGGTGTCCTCTCTGTATAGTGAAGCTTGGTCACGGTGGGGGTGCCATGTCAGGCTTGTGGCTTTGATGAAAAAGGACATTGTCAGTGCCCTTCCACGTTGTCCCCCATATCTCTCAAAAAATACAACTTACTGTACATGTACAATGACACCTTTGTACACTGTTGTATCTTGCCAGTTTAGAGACCTCGTATTTTGGCACACTGTATTGCAGCCCTCCCAAAAAAGATTCATATCCAAACTGAGGCCTTAAGAGCAACTGCTTTGAACACAACCTCATTCGACTGCATACAAAGATATATCAAATTCACAGATGCTCTAGAAAAAACATGACCAACTCCCTGGTGGTCTAGTGGTTAGGATTCGGCGTTTCACCGCCGCGGCCCGGGTTCGATTCCCGGTCAGGGAATACACTCTTTGAACATCTGGTGTCCTCTCTGTATAGTGAAGCTTGGTCACGGTGGGGGTGCCATGTCAGGCTTGTGGCTTTGATGAAAAAGGACATTGTCAGTGCTCTTCCAAATTGTCCCCCATATCTCAAAAAATACAACTTACTGTACATGTACAATGACACCTTTGTGCACTACTGTATCTTGCCAGTATACAGACCGTGTATTTTGGCACACTGTATTGCAGCCCTCCCAAAAAAGATTCATATCCAAACTGAGGCCTTAAGAGCAACTGCTTTGAACACAACCTCATTCGACTGCAAACAAAGATATATCAAATTCACAGATGCTCTAGAAAAAACATGACCAACTCCCTGGTGGTCTAGTGGTTAGGATTCGGCATTTTCACCGCCGCGGCCCGGGTTCGATTCCCGGTCAGGGAATACACTCTTTGAACATCTGGTGTCCTCTCTGAATACTGAAGCTTGGTCACGGTGGGGGTGCCATGTCAGGCTTGTGGCTTTGATGAAAAAGGACATTGTCAGTTCTCTTCCACGTTGTCACCCAAATCTCAAAAAATACAACTTACTGTACATGTACAATGACACCTATGTACACTACTGTATCTTGCCACTTTAGAGACCTCATATTTTGGCACACTGTATTGCAGCCCTCCCAAAAAAGATTCATATCCAAACTGAGGCCTTAAGAGCAACTGCTTTGAACACAACCTCATTCGACTGCATACAAAGATATATCAAATTCACAGATGCTCTAGAAAACCCATGACCAACTCCCTGGTGGTCTAGTGGTTAGGATTCGGCGTTTTCACCGCCGCGGCCCGGGTTCGATTCCCGGTCAGGGAATACACTCTTTGAACATCTGGTGTCCTCTCTGTATAGTGAAGCTTGGTCACGGTGGGGGTGCCATGTCAGGCTTGTGGCTTTGATGAAAAAGGACATTGTCAGTGCTCTTCCACGTTGTCCCCCATATCTCAAAAAATACAACTTACTGTACATGTACAATGACACCTTTGTACACTACCGTATCTTGCCAGTTTAGAGACCTCGTATTTTGGCACACTGTATTGCAGCCCTTCCAAAAAAGATTCATATCCAAACTGAGGCCTTAAGAGCAACTGCTTTGAACACAACCTCATTCGACTGCATACAAAGATATATCAAATTCAAAGATCCTCTAGAAAAAACATGACCAACTCCCTGGTGGTCTAGTGGTTAGGATTCGGCGCTCTCACCGCCGCGGCCCGGGTTCGATTCCCGGTCAGGGAATACACTCTTTGAACATCTGGTGTCCTCTCTGTATAGTGAAAATTGGTCACGGTGGGTGTGCCATGTCAGGCTTGTGGCTTTGATGAAAAAGGAAATTGTCAGTGCTCTTCCACGTTGTCCCCCATATCTCAAAAAATACAACTTACTGTACATGTACAATGACACCTTTGTGCACTACTGTATCTTGCCAGTTTAGAGACCTTGTATTTTGGCACACTGTATTGCAGCCCTCCCAAACGAAATTCATATCCAAACTGAGGCCTTAAGAGCGAAAGCTTTGAATGCAACCTCATTCGACTGCAAACAAAGATATATCAAATTCACAGATGCTCTAGAAAAAACATGACCAACTCCCTGGTGGTCTAGTGGTTAGGATTCGGCGCTCTCACCGCCGCGGCCCGGGTTCGATTCCCGGTCAGGGAATACACTCTTTGAACATCTGGTGTCCTCTCTGTATAGTGAAGCTTGGTCACGGTGGGGGTGCCATGTCAGGCTTGTGGCTTTGATGAAAAAGGACATTGTCAGTGCTCTTCCACGTTGTCCCCCATATCTCAAAAAATACAACTTACTGTACATGTACAATGACACCTTTGTACACTAACGTATCTTGCCAGTTTAGAGACCTCGTATTTTGGCACACTGTATTGCAGCCCTCCCAAAAAAGATTCCTATCCAAACTGAGGCCTTAAGAGCAACTGCTTTTAACACAACCTCATTCGACTGCATACAAAGTGTTGAGATGTGCTCTCATTTCATTTTTGTTTCTAGACATCATTCTTTTTGTCACTACCTTGTCAATCTAGACGTCATGTCATGTGATCCTAATCAGTGAATTGGTCACAGGTATGCTGTCTCTAATTAAAACAGCTGAGCCCGTGCGTGCGCGTTGGCTCACTCAGAGAGAAACACTCGTGTGTTATGTGTGTTTTTTCGCTAAACGTTGTGCAGGAAAAACCCACTCTGCTAACACAAAGATATATCAAATTCACAGATGCTCTAGAAAAAACATGACCAACTCCCTGGTGGTCTAGTGGTTAGGATTCGGCGTTTTCACCGCCGCGGCCCGGGTTCGATTCCCGGTCAGGGAATACACTCTTTGAACATCTGCTGTCCTCTCTGAATACTGAAGCTTGGTCACAGTGGGGGTGCCATGTCAGGCTTGTGGCTTTGATGAAAAAGGACATTGTCAGTGCTCTTCCACGTTGTCACCCAAATCTCAAAAAATACAACTTACTATACATGTACAATGACACCTATGTACACTACTGTATCTTGCCACTTTACAGACCTCATATTTTGGCACACTGTATTGCAGCCCTCCCAAAAAAGATTCATATCCAAACTGAGGCCTTAAGAGCAACTGCTTTGAACACAACCTCATTTGACTGCATACAAAGATATATCAAATTCACAGATGCTCTAGAAAACCCATGACCAACTCCCTGGTGGTCTAGTGGTTAGGATTCGGCGCTCTCACCGCCGCGGCCCGGGTTCGATTCCCGGTCAGGGAATACACTCTTTGAACATCTGGTGTCCTCTCTGTATAGTGAAGCTTGGTCACGGTGGGGGTGCCATGTCAGGCTTGTGGCTTTGATGAAAAAGGACATTGACAGTGCTCTTCCACATTGTCCCCCATATCTCAAAAAATACAACTTACTGTACATGTACAATGACACCTTTGTACACTACCGTATCTTGCCAGTTTAGAGACCTCGTATTTTGGCACACTGTATTGCAGCCCTCCCAAAAAAAGATTCATATCCAAACTGAGGCCTTAAGAGCAACTGCTTTGAACACAACCTCATTCGACTGCATACAAAGATATATCAAATTCAAAGATGCTCTAGAAAAAACATGACCAACTCCCTGGTGGTCTAGTGGTTAGGATTCGGCGCTCTCACCGCCGCGGCCCGGGTTCGATTCCCGGTCAGGGAATACACTCTTTGAACATCTGGTGTCCTCTCTGTATAGTGAAAATTGGTCACGGTGGGGGTGCCATGTCAGGCTTGTGGCTTTGATGAAAAAGGACATTGTCAGTGCTCTTCCACGTTGTCCCCCATATCTCAAAAAATACAACTTACTGTACATGTACAATGACACCTTTGTGCACTACTGTATCTTGCCAGTTTAGAGACCTTGTATTTTGGCACACTGTATTGCAGCCCTCCCCAAAAAAATTCATATCCAAACTGAGGCCTTAAGAGCGAAAGCTTTGAATGCAACCTCATTCGACTGCATACAAAGATATATCAAATTCACAGATGCTCTAGAAAAAACATGACCAACTCCCTGGTGGTCTAGTGGTTAGGATTCGGCGCTCTCACCGCCGCGGCCCGGGTTCGATTCCCGGTCAGGGAATACACTCTTTGAACATCTGGGGCCTCATGTATCAACACTTGCGTGGAACTCATACCAGAAACGAGCGCACGCAAGGTCCGTCACGCTGAAAAAAATCCGTATGTATCAATGTGTGCGGGCGCCGAAATCCACGTGTGTTTCCTTGATAAATCCCAATCAGCGTGGAATTGAGCGCAGATGTCGGAGTGACTGGGCCCGTCCCCGTTACGCCCTCCTATAAATATGCAGATTTATTTAAATAGGGTCTCCTGTCCTCGCACGCAGACAAAATGACAAGAAAAACTACATTTACGGCGTGCGAGGTGGAGGTGCTGGTGGCGGAGGTGGAGGAGCGACAGCGTGTTTTGTTTGGCAGCCTGTCCAGTGGCGTCAGTGCAAAACAAAAACGCTTGGAGTGGGAGAAAGTTTGCGAGAGGGTGAATGCGGTGGGTTCCGAGACACGCACCCCCGCGGAGATTAAAAAAAAGTGGTCGGACCTCAAGGTGGAGGTCAAGCGGCGTACAGCTGCCCTCCGGAGGAGTACCGGCCAGACAGGTGGGGGTCCGGGGGAGGAGACCCTCACACCGTTTGAGCAGCGGGTGGTGGCGATTATTATTATAGGGTAAGTGGCGTGTCACACAAATGTCCACATGCTTTGTCATCCCACTGAGCAAAAGACGTATATTAGACGTCTAGTCTAAGTTTATACTTCATTTCAACGTCGGGATTCAGTCTATTTTTAGACGTGATTTATACTTCGCCCTTAACTTCATTTTTCAATAACTTTTTATGCAATAAACAACTGTAATGTGCATAACTGACCTCGAAATACTGGATTACATTACCTATGATACTGTGGAGAGAGATGTAAATGCAACAGATACACAGAAGCAGGAATTGAAATGAACAAATATTTTTATTGTGTCACAGAAATTAATGTGTCGGCCGTGTCGCCGGCTTGCGGAACCCCGGCCCGCGGCAGCCCGTCCGCCGGCTCGGAGTCGTCGGCCAGGACCAGCGGCATTCGGGCCACCCCGGCCCCAGCACCAGCATCAGCACCAGCGCGCCGACAAGCGGTGGAGCGTCCACCAGCCGCGGCGCTTCCGCTGGACCACCCGGACGCAGTGGAAGGGTCCTCGCGGAGGGGGTCCTGCAATCGCAGGAAGAAATCATCAGGGGGATCGCGGGGATCAACGAGCGGCTGGACCGGCTCGTAAATTTCCTCGAGCGTCTGGTGGAGAAAATAAATTAATTTGGCTCATTGAACTGTGTATTCACTTCTTACCCATTCACACTGTGGCGATGAGATTCTCCCGCGCGAGGACGGCGGCCCGGCAGGGATCAGCTCACATCCCTCCGTCTGCTGCTGGTTCGTCATGTGGGGCGACGTGCTGCCCGGCCACGGGGATGTGGTGCACGCTTGTCACATAGTGAGTCACCAAACACCGCCACACAGCGTCGCCAAAGTGCAAATCACAGTCAACGCAAATATCCAGCTCAACGCCAATTTCTACACCACCTCCTGACTTTGCGTTGATTAGCGCTGGAACCGACGCTCGTTTCGCGATGATAAATCTGGACGTGTGCGCCGATTTTGGCGTACGCAAGGTTTTCTTGCGCCGCAAGCGTTGATACATGAGGCCCCTGGTGTCCTCTCTATATAGTGAAGCTTGGTCACGGTGGGGGTGCCATGTCAGGCTTGTGGCTTTGATGAAAAAGGACATTGTCAGTGCTCTTCCACGTTGTCCCCCATATCTCAAAAAATACAACTTACTGTACATGTACAATGACACCTTTGTACACTACCGTATCTTGCCAGTTTAGAGACCTCGTATTTTGGCACACTGTATTGCAGCCCTCCCAAAAAAGATTCATATCCAAACTGAGGCCTTAAGAGCAACTGCTTTTAACACAACCTCATTCGACTGCATACAAAGATATATCAAATTCACATATGCTCTAGAAAAAACATGACCAACTCCCTGGTGGTCTAGTGGTTAGGATTCGGCGCTCTCACCGCCACGGCCCGGGTTTGATTCCCGGTCAGGGAATACACTCTTTGAACATCTGGTGTCCTCTCTGTATAGTGAAGCTTGGTCACGGTGGGGGTGCCATGTCAGGCTTGTGGCTTTGATGAAAAAGGACATTGTCAGTGCTCTTCCACGTTGTCCCCCATATCTCAAAAAATACAACTTACTGTACATGTACAATGACACCTTTGTACACTACCGTATCTTGCCAGTTTAGAGACCTTGTATTTTGGCACACTGTATTGCAGCCCTCCCAAAAAAGATTCATATCCAAACTGAGGCCTTAAGAGCAACTGCTTTTAACACAACCTCATTCGACTGCATACAAAGATATATCAAATTCACAGATGCTCTAGAAAAAACATGACCAACTCCCTGGTGGTCTAGTGGTTAGGATTCGGCGTTTTCACCGCCGCGGCCCGGGTTCGATTCCCGGTCAGGGAATACACTCTTTGAACATCTGGTGTCCTCTCTGTATAGTGAAGCTTGGTCACGGTGGGGGTGCCATGTCAGGCTTGTGGCTTTGATGAAAAAGGACATTGTCAGTGCCCTTCCACGTTGTCCCCCATATCTCAAAAAATACAACTTACTGTACATGTACAATGACACGTTTGTACACTGTTGTATCTTGCCGGTTTAGAGACCTTGTATTTTGGCACACTGTATTGCAGCCCTCCCAAAAAAGATTCATATCCAAACTGAGGCCTTAAGAGCAACTGCTTTGAACACAACCTCATTCGACTGCATACAAAGATATATCAAATTCACAGATGCTCTAGAAAAACCATGACCAACTCCCTGGTGGTCTAGTGGTTAGGATTCGGCGCTCTCACCGCCGCGGCCAGGTTTCGATTCCCGGTCAGGGAATACACTCTTTGAACATCTGGTGTCCTCTCTGTATAGTGAAGCTTGGTCACGGTGGGGGTGCCATGTCAGGCTTGTGGCTTTGATGAAAAAGGACATTGTCAGTGCTCTTCCACGTTGTCACCCAAATCTCAAAAAATACAACTTACTGTACATGTACAATGACACCTATGTACACTACTGTATCTTGCCACTTTAGAGACCTCATATTTTGGCACACTGTATTGCAGCCCTCCCAAAAAAGATTCATATCCAAACTGAGGCCTTAAGAGCAACTGCTTTGAACACAACCTCATTCGACTGCATACAAAGATATATCAAATTCACAGATGCTCTAGAAAACCCATGACCAACTCCCTGGTGGTCTAGTTGTTAGGATTCGGCGTTTTCACCGCAGCGGCCCGGGTTCGATTCCCGGTCAGGGAATACACTCTTTGAACATCTGGTGTCCTCTCTGTATAGTGAAGCTTGGTCACGGTGGGGGTGCCATGTCAGGCTTGTGGCTTTGATGAAAAAGGACATTGACAGTGCTCTTCCACATTGTCCCCCATATCTCAAAAAATACAACTTACTGTACATGTACAATGACACCTTTGTACACTACCGTATCTTGCCAGTTTAGAGACCTCATATTTTGGCACACTGTATTGCAGCCCTTCCAAAAAAGATTCATATCCAAACTGAGGCCTTAAGAGCAACTGCTTTGAACACAACCTCATTCGACTGCATACAAAGATATATCAAATTCAAAGATGCTCTAGAAAAAACATGACCAACTCCCTGGTGGTCTAGTGGTTAGGATTCGGCGTTTTCACCGCCGCGGCCCGGGTTTGATTCCCGATCAGGGAATACACTCTTTGAACATCTGGTGTCCTCTCTGTATAGTGAAGCTTAGTCACGGTGGGGGTGCCATGTCAGGCTTGTGGCTTTGATGAAAAAGGACATTGACAGTGCTCTTCCACATTGTCCCCCATATCTCAAAAAATACAACTTACTGTACATGTACAATGACACCTTTGTACACTACCGTATCTTGCCAGTTTAGAGACCTCGTATTTTGGCACACTGTATTGCAGCCCTTCCAAAAAAGATTCATATCCAAACTGAGGCCTTAAGAGCAACTGCTTTGAACGCAACCTCATTCAACTGCATACAAAGATATATCAAATTCAAAGATCCTCTAGAAAAAACATGACCAACTCCCTGGTGGTCTAGTGGTTAGGATTCGGCGCTCTCACCGCCGCGGCCCGGGTTCGATTGCTGGTCAGGGAATACACTCTTTGAACATCTGGTGTCCTCTCTGTATAGTAAAAATTGGTCACTGTGGGGGTGCCATGTCAGGCTTGTGGCTTTGATGAAAAAGGACATTGTCAGTGCTCTTCCATGTTGTCCCCCATATCTCAAAAAATACAACTTACTGTACATGTACAATGACACCTTTGTGCACTACTGTATCTTGCCATTTTAGAGACCTTGTATTTTGGCACACTGTATTGCAGCCCTCCCAAAAAAAATTCATATCCAAACTGAGGCCTTAAGAGCGAAAGCTTTGATTGCAACCTCATTCGACTGCATACAAAGATATATCAAATTCACAGATGCTCTAGAAAAAACATGACCAACTCCCTGGTGGTCTAGTGGTTAGGATTCGGCGCTCTCACCGCCGCGGCCCGGGTTCGATTCCCGGTCAGGGAATACACTCTTTGAACATCTGGTGTCCTCTCTGTATAGTGAAGCTTGGTCACGGTGGGGGTGCCATGTCAGGCTTGTGGCTTTGATGAAAAAGGACATTGTCAGTGCTCTTCCACGTTGTCCCCCATATCTCAAAAAATACAACTTACTGTACATGTACAATGACACCTTTGTACACTACCGTATCTTGCCAGTTTAGAGACCTCGTATTTTGGCACACTGTATTGCAGCCCTCCCAAAAAAGATTCATATCCAAACTGAGGCCTTAAGAGCAACTGCTTTTAACACAACCTCATTCGACTGCATACAAAGATATATCAAATTCACAGATGCTCTAGAAAAAACATGACCAACTCCCTGGTGGTCTAGTGGTTAGGATTCGGCGTTTTCACCGCCGCGGCCCGGGTTCGATTCCCGGTCAGGGAATACACTCTTTGAACATCTGGTGTCCTCTCTGTATAGTGAAGCTTGGTCACGGTGGGGGTGCCATGTCAGGCTTGTGGCTTTGATGAAAAAGGACATTGTCAGTGCCCTTCCACGTTGTCCCCCATATCTCAAAAAATACAACTTACTGTACATGTACAATGACACCTTTGTACACTGTTGTATCTTGCCAGTTTAGAGACCTTGTATTTTGGCACACTGTATTGCAGCCCTCCCAAAAAAGATTCATATCCAAACTGAGGCCTTAAGAGCAACTGCTTTGAACACAACCTCATTCGACTGCATACAAAGATATATCAAATTCACAGATGCTCTAGAAAAAACATGACCAACTCCCTGGTGGTCTAGTGGTTAGGATTCGGCGTTTTCACCGCCGCGGCCCGGGTTCGATTGCTGGTCAGGGAATACAGTCTTTGAACATCTGGTGTCCTCTCTGTATAGTGAAGCTTGGTCACGGTGGGGGTGCCATGTCAGGCTTGTGGCTTTGATGAAAAAGGACATTGTCAGTGCTCCTCCAAATTGTCCCCCATATCTCAAAAAATACAACTTACTGTACATGTACAATGACACCTTTGTGCACTACTGTATCTTGCCAGTATACAGACCGTGTATTTTGGCACACTGTATTGCAGCCCTCCCAAAAAAGATTCATATCCAAACTGAGGCCTTAAGAGCAACTGCTTTGAACACAACCTCATTCGACTGCAAACAAAGATATATCAAATTCACAGATGCTCTAGAAAAAACATGACCAACTCCCTGGTGGTCTAGTGTTTAGGATTCGGCGCTCTCACCGCCGCGGCCCGGGTTCGATTCCCGGTCAGGGAATACACTCTTTGAACATCTGGTGTCCTCTCTGAATACTGAAGCTTGGTCACGGTGGGGGTGCCATGTCAGGCTTGTGGCTTTGATGAAAAAGGACATTGTCAGTTCTCTTCCACGTTGTCACCCAAATCTCAAAAAATACAACTTACTGTACATGTACAATGACACCTATGTACACTACTGTATCTTGCCACTTTAGAGACCTCATATTTTGGCACACTGTATTGCAGCCCTCCCAAAAAAGATTCATATCCAAACTGAGGCCTTAAGAGCAACTGCTTTGAACACAACCTCATTCGACTGCATACAAAGATATATCAAATTCACAGATGCTCTAGAAAACCCATGACCAACTCCCTGGTGGTCTAGTGGTTAGGATTCGGCGTTTTCACCGCCGCGGCCGGGGTTCGATTCCCGGTCAGGGAATACACTCTTTGAACATCTGGTGTCCTCTCTGTATAGTGAAGCTTGGTAACGATGGGGGTGCCATGTCAGGCTTGTGGCTTTGATGAAAAAGGACATTCACAGTGCTCTTCCACATTGACCCCCATATCTCAAAAAATACAACTTACTGTACATGTACAATGACACCTTTGTACACTACCGTATCTTGCCAGTGTAGAGACCTCGTATTTTGGCACACTGTATTGCAGCCCTTCCAAAAAAGATTCATATCCAAACTGAGGCCTTAAGAGCAACTGCTTTGAACACAACCTCATTCGACTGCATACAAAGATATATCAAATTCAAAGATCCTCTAGAAAAAACATGACCAACTCCCTGGTGGTCTAGTGGTTAGGATTCGGTGCTCTCACCGCCGCGGCCCGGGTTCGATTCCCGGTCAGGGAATACACTCTTTGAACATCTGGTGTCCTCTCTGTATAGTGAAAATTGGTCACGGTGGGTGTGCCATGTCAGGCTTGTGGCTTTGATGAAAAAGGAAATTGTCAGTGCATTTCCACGTTGTCCCCCATATCTCAAAAAATACAACTTACTGTACATGTACAATGACACCTTTGTGCACTACTGTATCTTGCCAGTTTAGAGACCTTGTATTTTGGCACACTGTATTGCAGCCCTCCCAAAAAAGATTCATATCCAAACTGAGGCCTTAAGAGCGAAAGCTTTGAATGCAACCTCATTCGACTGCAAACAAAGATATATCAAATTCACAGATGCTCTAGAAAAAACATGACCAACTCCCTGGTGGTCTAGTGGTTAGGATTCGGCGCTCTCACCGCCGCGGCCCGGGTTCGATTCCCGGTCAGGGAATACACTCTTTGAACATCTGGTGTCCTCTCTGTATAGTGAAGCTTGGTCGCGGTGGGGGTGCCATGTCAGGCTTGTGGCTTTGATGAAAAAGGACATTGTCAGTGCTCTTCCACGTTGTCCCCCATGTCTCAAAAAATACAACTTACTGTACATGTACAATGACACCTTTGTACACTAACGTATCTTGCCAGTTTAGAGACCTCGTATTTTGGCACACTGTATTGCAGCCCTCCCAAAAAAGATTCCTATCCAAACTGAGGCCTTAAGAGCAACTGCTTTTAACACAACCTCATTCGACTGCATACAAAGTGTTGAGATGTGCTCTCATTTCATTTTTGTTTCTAGACATCATTCTTTTTGTCACTACCTTGTCAATCTAGACGTCATGTCATGTGATCCTAATCAGTGAATTGGTCACAGGTATGCTGTCTCTAATTAAAACAGCTGAGCCCGTGCGTGCGCGTTGGCTCACTCAGAGAGAAACACTCGTGTGTTATGTGTGTTTTTTCGCTAAACGTTGTGCAGGAAAAACCCACTCTGCTAACACAAAGATATATCAAATTCACAGATGCTCTAGAAAAAACATGACCAACTCCCTGGTGGTCTAGTGGTTAGGATTCGGCGTTTTCACCGCCGCGGCCCGGGTTCGATTCCCGGTCAGGGAATACACTCTTTGAACATCTGCTGTCCTCTCTGAATACTGAAGCTTGGTCACGGTGGGGGTGCCATGTCAGGCTTGTGGCTTTGATGAAAAAGGACATTGTCAGTGCTCTTCCACGTTGTCACCCAAATCTCAAAAAATACAACTTACTATACATGTACAATGACACCTATGTACACTACTGTATCTTGCCACTTTACAGACCTCATATTTTGGCACACTGTATTGCAGCCCTCCCAAAAAAGATTCATATCCAAACTGAGGCCTTAAGAGCAACTGCTTTGAACACAACCTCATTTGACTGCATACAAAGATATATCAAATTCACAGATGCTCTAGAAAACCCATGACCAACTCCCTGGTGGTCTAGTGGTTAGGATTCGGCGTTTTCACCGCCGCGGCCCGGGTTCGATTCCCGGTCAGGGAATACACTCTTTGAAAATCTGGTGTCCTCTCTGTATAGTGAAGCTTGGTCACGGTGGGGGTGCCATGTCAGGCTTGTGGCTTTGATGAAAAAGGACATTGACAGTGCTCTTCCACATTGTCCCCCATATCTCAAAAAATACAACTTACTGTACATGTACAATGACACCTTTGTACACTACCGTATCTTGCCAGTTTAGAGACCTCGTATTTTGGCACACTGTATTGCAGCCCTTCCAAAAAAGATTCATATCCAAACTGAGGCCTTAAGAGCAACTGCTTTGAACACAACCTCATTCGACTGCATACAAAGATATATCAAATTCAAAGATGCTCTAGAAAAAACATGACCAACTCCCTGGTGGTCTAGTGGTTAGGATTCGGCGCTCTCACCGCCGCGGCCCGGGTTCGATTCCCGGTCAGGGAATACACTCTTTGAACATCTGGTGTCCTCTCTGTATACTGAAAATTGGTCACGGTGGGGGTGCCATGTCAGGCTTGTGGCTTTGATGAAAAAGGACATTGTCAGTGCTCTTCCACGTTGTCCCCCATATCTCAAAAAATACAACTTACTGTACATGTACAATGACACCTTTGTGCACTACTGTATCTTGCCAGTTTAGAGACCTTGTATTTTGGCACACTGTATTGCAGCCCTCCCCAAAAAAATTCATATCCAAACTGAGGCCTTAAGAGCGAAAGCTTTGAATGCAACCTCATTCGACTGCATACAAAGATATATCAAATTCACAGATGCTCTAGAAAAAACATGACCAACTCCCTGGTGGTCTAGTGGTTAGGATTCGGCGCTCTCACCGCCGCGGCCCGGGTTCGATTCCCGGTCAGGGAATACACTCTTTGAACATCTGGGGCCTCATGTATCAACACTTGCGTGGAACTCATACCAGAAACGAGCGCACGCAAGGTCCGTCACGCTGAAAAAAATCCGTATGTATCAATGTGTGCGGGCGCCGAAATCCACGTGTGTTTCCTTGATAAATCCCAATCAGCGTGGAATTGAGCGCAGATGTCGGAGTGACTGGGCCCGTCCCCGTTACGCCCTCCTATAAATATGCAGATTTATTTAAATAGGGTCTCCCTGTCCTCGCACGCAGACAAAATGACAAGAAAAACTACATTTACGGCGTGCGAGGTGGAGGTGCTGGTGGCGGAGGTGGAGGAGCGACAGCGTGTTTTGTTTGGCAGCCTGTCCAGTGGCGTCAGTGCAAAACAAAAACGCTTGGAGTGGGAGAAAGTTTGCGAGAGGGTGAATGCGGTGGGTTCCGAGACACGCACCCCCGCGGAGATTAAAAAAAAGTGGTCGGACCTCAAGGTGGAGGTCAAGCGGCGTACAGCTGCCCTCCGGAGGAGTACCGGCCAGACAGGTGGGGGTCCGGGGGAGGAGACCCTCACACCGTTTGAGCAGCGGGTGGTGGCGATTATTATTATAGGGTAAGTGGCGTGTCACACAAATGTCCACATGCTTTGTCATCCCACTGAGCAAAAGACGTATATTAGACGTCTAGTCTAAGTTTATACTTCATTTCAACGTCGGGATTCAGTCTATTTTTAGACGTGATTTATACTTCGCCCTTAACTTCATTTTTCAATAACTTTTTATGCAATAAACAACTGTAATGTGCATAACTGACCTCGAAATACTGGATTACATTACCTATGATACTGTGGAGAGAGATGTAAATGCAACAGATACACAGAAGCAGGAATTGAAATGAACAAATATTTTTATTGTGTCACAGAAATTAATGTGTCGGCCGTGTCGCCGGCTTGCGGAACCCCGGCCCGCGGCAGCCCGTCCGCCGGCTCGGAGTCGTCGGCCAGGACCAGCGGCATTCGGGCCACCCCGGCCCCAGCACCAGCATCAGCACCAGCGCGCCGACAAGCGGTGGAGCGTCCACCAGCCGCGGCGCTTCCGCTGGACCACCCGGACGCAGTGGAAGGGTCCTCGCGGAGGGGGTCCTGCAATCGCAGGAAGAAATCATCAGGGGGATCGCGGGGATCAACGAGCGGCTGGACCGGCTCGTAAATTTCCTCGAGCGTCTGGTGGAGAAAATAAATTAATTTGGCTCATTGAACTGTGTATTCACTTCTTACCCATTCACACTGTGGCGATGAGATTCTCCCGCGCGAGGACGGCGGCCCGGCAGGGATCAGCTCACATCCCTCCGTCTGCTGCTGGTTCGTCATGTGGGGCGACGTGCTGCCCGGCCACGGGGATGTGGTGCACGCTTGTCACATAGTGAGTCACCAAACACCGCCACACAGCGTCGCCAAAGTGCAAATCACAGTCAACGCAAATATCCAGCTCAACGCCAATTTCTACACCACCTCCTGACTTTGCGTTGATTAGCGCTGGAACCGACGCTCGTTTCGCGATGATAAATCTGGACGTGTGCGCCGATTTTGGCGTACGCAAGGTTTTCTTGCGCCGCAAGCGTTGATACATGAGGCCCCTGGTGTCCTCTCTATATAGTGAAGCTTGGTCACGGTGGGGGTGCCATGTCAGGCTTGTGGCTTTGATGAAAAAGGACATTGTCAGTGCTCTTCCACGTTGTCCCCCATATCTCAAAAAATACAACTTACTGTACATGTACAATGACACCTTTGTACACTACCGTATCTTGCCAGTTTAGAGACCTCGTATTTTGGCACACTGTATTGCAGCCCTCCCAAAAAAGATTCATATCCAAACTGAGGCCTTAAGAGCAACTGCTTTTAACACAACCTCATTCGACTGCATACAAAGATATATCAAATTCACATATGCTCTAGAAAAAACATGACCAACTCCCTGGTGGTCTAGTGGTTAGGATTCGGCGCTCTCACCGCCACGGCCCGGGTTTGATTCCCGGTCAGGGAATACACTCTTTGAACATCTGGTGTCCTCTCTGTATAGTGAAGCTTGGTCACGGTGGGGGTGCCATGTCAGGCTTGTGGCTTTGATGAAAAAGGACATTGTCAGTGCTCTTCCACGTTGTCCCCCATATCTCAAAAAATACAACTTACTGTACATGTACAATGACACCTTTGTACACTACCGTATCTTGCCAGTTTAGAGACCTTGTATTTTGGCACACTGTATTGCAGCCCTCCCAAAAAAGATTCATATCCAAACTGAGGCCTTAAGAGCAACTGCTTTTAACACAACCTCATTCGACTGCATACAAAGATATATCAAATTCACAGATGCTCTAGAAAAAACATGACCAACTCCCTGGTGGTCTAGTGGTTAGGATTCGGCGTTTTCACCGCCGCGGCCCGGGTTCGATTCCCGGTCAGGGAATACACTCTTTGAACATCTGGTGTCCTCTCTGTATAGTGAAGCTTGGTCACGGTGGGGGTGCCATGTCAGGCTTGTGGCTTTGATGAAAAAGGACATTGTCAGTGCCCTTCCACGTTGTCCCCCATATCTCAAAAAATACAACTTACTGTACATGTACAATGACACGTTTGTACACTGTTGTATCTTGCCGGTTTAGAGACCTTGTATTTTGGCACACTGTATTGCAGCCCTCCCAAAAAAGATTCATATCCAAACTGAGGCCTTAAGAGCAACTGCTTTGAACACAACCTCATTCGACTGCATACAAAGATATATCAAATTCACAGATGCTCTAGAAAAACCATGACCAACTCCCTGGTGGTCTAGTGGTTAGGATTCGGCGCTCTCACCGCCGCGGCCAGGTTTCGATTCCCGGTCAGGGAATACACTCTTTGAACATCTGGTGTCCTCTCTGTATAGTGAAGCTTGGTCACGGTGGGGGTGCCATGTCAGGCTTGTGGCTTTGATGAAAAAGGACATTGTCAGTGCTCTTCCACGTTGTCACCCAAATCTCAAAAAATACAACTTACTGTACATGTACAATGACACCTTTGTACACTACTGTATCTTGCCACTTTAGAGACCTCATATTTTGGCACACTGTATTGCAGCCCTCCCAAAAAAGATTCATATCCAAACTGAGGCCTTAAGAGCAACTGCTTTGAACACAACCTCATTCGACTGCATACAAAGATATATCAAATTCACAGATGCTCTAGAAAACCCATGACCAACTCCCTGGTGGTCTAGTTGTTAGGATTCGGCGTTTTCACCGCCGCGGCCCGGGTTCGATTCCCGGTCAGGGAATACACTCTTTGAACATCTGGTGTCCTCTCTGTATAGTGAAGCTTGGTCACGGTGGGGGTGCCATGTCAGGCTTGTGGCTTTGATGAAAAAGGACATTGACAGTGCTCTTCCACATTGTCCCCCATATCTCAAAAAATACAACTTACTGTACATGTACAATGACACCTTTGTACACTACCGTATCTTGCCAGTTTAGAGACCTCATATTTTGGCACACTGTATTGCAGCCCTTCCAAAAAAGATTCATATCCAAACTGAGGCCTTAAGAGCAACTGCTTTGAACACAACCTCATTCGACTGCATACAAAGATATATCAAATTCAAAGATGCTCTAGAAAAAACATGACCAACTCCCTGGTGGTCTAGTGGTTAGGATTCGGCGTTTTCACCGCCGCGGCCCGGGTTCGATTCCCGATCAGGGAATACACTCTTTGAACATCTGGTGTCCTCTCTGTATAGTGAAGCTTAGTCACGGTGGGGGTGCCATGTCAGGCTTGTGGCTTTGATGAAAAAGGACATTGTCAGTGCTCTTCCACATTGTCCCCCATATCTCAAAAAATACAACTTACTGTACATGTACAATGACACCTTTGTACACTACCGTATCTTGCCAGTTTAGAGACCTCGTATTTTGGCACACTGTATTGCAGCCCTTCCAAAAAAGATTCATATCCAAACTGAGGCCTTAAGAGCAACTGCTTTGAACACAACCTCATTCGACTGCATACAAAGATATATCAAATTCAAAGATCCTCTAGAAAAAACATGACCAACTCCCTGGTGGTCTAGTGGTTAGGATTCGGCGCTCTCACCGCCGCGGCCCGGGTTCGATTCCCGGTCAGGGAATACACTCTTTGAACATCTGGTGTCCTCTCTGTATAGTAAGCTTGGTCACGGTGGGGGTGCCATGTCAGGCTTGTGGCTTTGATGAAAAAGGACATTGTCAGTGCTCTTCCATGTTGTCCCCCATATCTCAAAAAATACAACTTACTGTACATGTACAATGACACCTTTGTGCACTACTGTATCTTGCCAGTTTAGAGACCTTGTATTTTGGCACACTGTATTGCAGCCCTCCCAAAAAAATTCATATCCAAACTGAGGCCTTAAGAGCGAAAGCTTTGAATGCAACCTCATTCGACTGCATACAAAGATATATCAAATTCACAGATGCTCTAGAAAAAACATGACCAACTCCCTGGTGGTCTAGTGGTTAGGATTCGGCGCTCTCACCGCCGCGGCCCGGGTTCGATTCCCGGTCAGGGAATACACTCTTTGAACATCTGGTGTCCTCTCTGTATAGTGAAGCTTGGTCACGGTGGGGGTGCCATGTCAGGCTTGTGGCTTTGATGAAAAAGGACATTGTCAGTGCTCTTCCACGTTGTCCCCCATATCTCAAAAAATACAACTTACTGTACATGTACAATGACACCTTTGTACACTACCGTATCTTGCCAGTTTAGAGACCTCGTATTTTGGCACACTGTATTGCAGCCCTCCCAAAAAAGATTCATATCCAAACTGAGGCCTTAAGAGCAACTGCTTTTAACACAACCTCATTCGACTGCATACAAAGATATATCAAATTCACAGATGCTCTAGAAAAAACATGACCAACTCCCTGGTGGTCTAGTGGTTAGGATTCGGCGTTTTCACCGCCGCGGCCCGGGTTCGATTCCCGGTCAGGGAATACACTCTTTGAACATCTGGTGTCCTCTCTGTATAGTGAAGCTTGGTCACGGTGGGGGTGCCATGTCAGGCTTGTGGCTTTGATGAAAAAGGACATTGTCAGTGCCCTTCCACGTTGTCCCCCATATCTCAAAAAATACAACTTACTGTACATGTACAATGACACCTTTGTACACTGTTGTATCTTGCCAGTTTAGAGACCTTGTATTTTGGCACACTGTATTGCAGCCCTCCCAAAAAAGATTCATATCCAAACTGAGGCCTTAAGAGCAACTGCTTTGAACACAACCTCATTCGACTGCATACAAAGATATATCAAATTCAAAGATGCTCTAGAAAAAACATGACCAACTCCCTGGTGGTCTAGTGGTTAGGATTCGGCGTTTTCAACGCCGCGGCCCGGGTTCGATTCCCGGTCAGGGAATACACTCTTTGAACATCTGGTGTCCTCTCTGTATAGTGAAGCTTGGTCACGGTGGGGGTGCCATGTCAGGCTTGTGGCTTTGATGAAAAAGGACATTGTCAGTGCTCTTCCAAATTGTCCCCCATATCTCAAAAAATACAACTTACTGTACATGTACAATGACACCATTTTGCACTACTGTATCTTGCCAGTTTAGAGACCTTGTATTTTGGCACACTGTATTGCAGCCCTCCCAAAAAAAATTCATATCCAAACTGAGGCCTTAAGAGCGAAAGCTTTGAATGCAACCTCATTCGACTGCATACAAAGATATATCAAATTCACAGATGCTCTAGAAAGAACATGACCAACTCCCTGGTGGTCTAGTGGTTAGGATTCGGCGCTCTCACCGCCGCGGCCCGGTTTCGATTCCCGGTCAGGGAATACACTCTTTGAACATCTGGTGTCCTCTCTGTATAGTGAAGCTTGGTCACGGTGAGGGTGCCATGTCAGGCTTGTGGCTTTGATGAAAAAGGACATTGTCAGTGCTCTTCCACGTTGTCCCCCATATCTCAAAAAATACAACTTACTGTACATGTACAAAGACACCTTTGTACACTACCGTATCTTGCCAGTTTACAGACCTCGCATTTTGGCACACTGTATTGCAGCCCTCCCAAAAAAGATTCATATCCAAACTGAGGCCTTAAGAGCAACTGCTTTTAACACAACCTCATTCGACTGCATACAAAGATATATCAAATTCACAGATGCTCTAGAAAAAACATGACCAACTCCCTGGTGGTCTAGTGGTTAGGATTCGGCGCTCTCACCGCCGCGGCCCGGGTTCGATTCCCGGTCAGGGAATACACTCATTGAACATCTGGTGTCCTCTCTGTATAGTGAAGCTTGGTCACGGTGGGGGTGCCATGTCAGGCTTGTGGCTTTGATGAAAAAGGACATTGTCAGTGCTCTTCCAAATTGTCCCCCATATCTCAAAAAATACAACTTACTGTACATGTACAATGACACCTTTGTGCACTACTGTATCTTGCCAGTATAGAGACCTTGTATTTTGGCACACTGTATTGCAGCCCTCCCAAAAAAGATTCATATCCAAACTGAGGCCTTAAGAGCAACTGCTTTGAACACAACCTCATTCGACTGCAAACAAAGATATATCAAATTCACAGATGCTCTAGAAAAAACATGACCAACTCCCTGGTGGTCTAGTGGTTAGGATTCGGCGCTCTCACCGCCGCGGCCCGGGTTCGATTCCCGGTCAGGGAATACACTCTTTGAACATCTGCTGTCCTCTCTGAATACTGAAGCTTGGTCACGGTGGGGGTGCCATGTCAGGCTTGTGGCTTTGATGAAAAAGGACATTGTCAGTTCTCTTCCACGTTGTCACCCAAATCTCAAAAAATACAACTTACTGTACATGTACAATGACACCTATGTACACTACTGTATCTTGCCACTTTAGAGACCTCATATTTTGGCACACTGTATTGCAGCCCTCCCAAAAAAGATTCATATCCAAACTGAGGCCTTAAGAGCAACTGCTTTGAACACAACCTCATTCGACTGCATACAAAGATATATCAAATTCACAGATGCTCTAGAAAACCCATGACCAACTCCCTGGTGGTCTAATGGTTAGGATTCGGCGTTTTCACCGCCGCGGCCGGGGTTCGATTCCCGGTCAGGTAATACACTCTTTGAACATCTGGTGTCCTCTCTGTATAGTGAAGCTTGGTAACGATGGGGGTGCCATGTCAGGCTTGTGGCTTTGATGAAAAAGGACATTCACAGTGCTCTTCCACATTGACCCCCATATCTCAAAAAATACAACTTACTGTACATGTACAATGACACCTTTGTACACTACCGTATCTTGCCAGTGTAGAGACCTCGTATTTTGGCACACTGTATTGCAGCCCTTCCAAAAAAGATTCATATCCAAACTGAGGCCTTAAGAGCAACTGCTTTGAACACAACCTCATTCGACTGCATACAAAGATATATCAAATTCAAAGATCCTCTAGAAAAAACATGACCAACTCCCTGGTGGTCTAGTGGTTAGGATTCGGTGCTCTCACCGCCGCGGCCCGGGTTCGATTCCCGGTCAGGGAATACACTCTTTGAACAACTGGTGTCCTCTCTGTATAGTGAAAATTGGTCACGGTGGGTGTGCCATGTCAGGCTTGTGGCTTTGATGAAAAAGGAAATTGTCAGTGCTCTTCCACGTTGTCCCCCATATCTCAAAAAATACAACTTACTGTACATGTACAATGACACCTTTCTGCACTACTGTATCTTGCCAGTTTAGAGACCTTGTATTTTGGCACACTGTATTGCAGCCCTCCCAAAAAAGATTCATATCCAAACTGAGGCCTTAAGAGCGAAAGCTTTGAATGCAACCTCATTCGACTGCAAACAAAGATATATCAAATTCACAGACGCTCCAGAAAAAAATGATGAACTCCCTGGTGGTCTAGTGGTTAGGATTCGGCGTTTTCACCGCCGCGGCCCGGGTTCGATTCCCGGTCAGGGAATACACTCTTTGAACATCTGCTGTCCTCTCTGTATAGTGAAGCTTGGTCACGGTGGGGGTGCCATGTCAGGCTTGTGGCTTTGATGAAAAAGGACATTGTCAGTGCTCTTCCACGTTGTCACCCAAATCTCAAAAAATACAACTTACTGTACATGTACAATGACACCTTTGTACACTGTTGTATCTTGCCAGTTTAGAGACCTTATTTTGGCACACTGTATTGCAGCCCTCCCAAAAAAGATTCATATCCAAACTGAGGCCTTAAGAGCAACTGCTTTGAACACAACCTCATTCGACTGCATACAAAGATATATCAAATTCACAGACGCTCCAGAAAAAAATGATGAACTCCCTGGTGGTCTAGTGGTTAGGATTCGGTGTTTTCACCGACACGGCCCGGGTTCGATTCCCGGTCAGGGAATACACTCTTTGAACATCTGCTGTCCTCTCTGTATAGTGAAGCTTGGTCACGGTGGGGGTGCCATGTCAGGCTTGTGGCTTTGATGAAAAAGGACATTGTCAGTGCTCTTCCACGTTGTCACCCAAATCTCAAAAAATACAACTTACTGTACATGTACAATGACACCTTTGTACACTGTTGTATCTTGCCAGTTTACAGACCGCTTATTTTGGCACACTGTATTGCAGCCCTCCCAAAAAAGATTCATATCCAAACTGAGGCCTTAAGAGCAACTGCTTTGAACACAACCTCATTCGACTGCATACAAAGATATATCAAATTCACAGACGCTCCAGAAAAAAAATGATGAACTCCCTGGTGGTCTAGTGGTTAGGATTCGGTGTTTTCACCGACACGGCCCGGGTTCGATTCCCGCTCAGGGAATACACTCTTTGAACATCTGCTGTCCTCTCTGTATAGTGAAGCTTGGTCACTGTGGGGGTGCCATGTCAGGCTTGTGGCTTTGATGAAAAAGGACATTGTCAGTGCTCTTCCATGTTGTCCCCCATACCTCAAAAAATACAAATTATTGTGAATGTACAATGACACCTTTGTCAACAACTTTATCTTGCCAGTTTAGTGACCGCTTTTTTTGGCACACTGTATTGCAGCCCTCCCATAAAAAAAAATCAGACCCAAACTGAGGCCTTTAGAGTAACTGCTTTGAACACAACCTCATTCGACTGCATTCAAAGATATATCAAATTCACAGATGCTCTAGGAAAAACATGAGCAATTTCCTGCTGGTCTAGTGGTTACGATTCGGCGCTCTCACCGCCGCGGCTCGGGTTCGATTCCCGGTCAGGGAATATGCACTTTGAACATCTGGTGTCCTCTCCGTATAGTGAAGCTTGGTCACGGTGGGGGTGCCATGTCAGGCTTGTGGCTTTGATGAAAAAGGACATTGTCAGTGCTCTTCCACGTTGTCCCCCATATCTCAAAAAATACAACTTACTGTACATGTACAATGACACCTTTGTACACTACCGTATCTTGCCAGTTTAGAGACCTCGTATTTTGGCACACTGTATTGCAGCCCTCCCAAAAAAGATTCATATCCAAACTGAGGCCTTAAGAGCAACTGCTTTTAACACAACCTCATTCGACTGCATACAAAGATATATCAAATTCACAGATGCTCTAGAAAAAAATGATGAACTCCCTGGTGGTCTAGTGGTTAGGATTCGGCGCTCTCACCGCCGCGGCCCGGGTTCGATTCCCGGTCAGGGAATACACTCTTTGAACATCTGGTGTCCTCTCTGTATAGTGAAGCTTGGTCACGGTGGGGGTGCCATGTCAGGCTTGTGGCTTTGATGAAAAAGGACATTGTCAGTGCTCTTCCACGTTGTCCCCCATATCTCAAAAAATACAACTTACTGTACATGTACAATGACACCTTTGAACACTACTTTATCTTGCCAGTTTAGTGACCGCTTTTTTTGGCACACTGTATTGCAGCCCTCCCAAAAAAGATTCATATCCAAACTGAGGCCTTAAGAGCAACTGCTTTTAACACAACCTCATTCGACTGCATTCAAAGATATATCAAATTCACAGATGCTCTAGGAAAAACATGAGCAATTTCCTGCTGGTCTAGTGGTTAGGATTCGGCGCTCTCACCGCCGCGGCCCGGGTTCGATTCCCGGTCAGGGAATACACTCTTTGAACATCTGGTGTCCTCTCTGAATACTGAATCTTGGTCACGGTGGGGGTGCCATGTCAGGCTTGTGGCTTTGATGAAAAAGGACATTGTCAGTGCTCTTCCAAATTGTCCCCCATATCTCAAAAAATACAACTTACTGTACATGTACAATTACACCTTTGTGCACTGTTGTATCTTGCCAGTTTAGAGACCTTGTATTTTGGCACACTGTATTGCAGCCCTCCCAAAAAAAATTCATATCTAAACTGAGGCCTTAAGAGCGAAAGCTTTGAATGCAACCTCATTCGACTGCAAACAAAGATATATCAAATTCACAGATGCTCTAGAAAAAACATGACCAACTACCTGGTGGTCTAGTGGTTAGGATTCGGCGCTCTCACCGCCGCGGCCCGGGTTCGATTCCCGGTCAGGGAATACACTCATTGAACATCTGGTGTCCTCTCTGTATAGTGAAGCTTGGTCACGGTGGGGGTGCCATGTCAGGCTTGTGGCTTTGATGAAAAAGGACATTGTCAGTGCTCTTCCACGTTGTCCCCCATATCTCAAAAAATACAACTTACTGTACATGTACAATGACACCTTTGTACACTACCGTATCTTGCCAGTTTAGAGACCTCGTATTTTGGCACACTGTATTGCAGCCCTCCCAAAAAAGATTCATATCCAAACTGAGGCCTTAAGAGCAACTGCTTTTAACACAACCTCATTCGACTGCATACAAAGATATATCAAATTCACAGATGCTCTAGAAAAAAATGATGAACTCCCTGGTGGTCTAGTGGTTAGGATTCGGCGCTCTCACCGCCGCGGCCCGGGTTCGATTCCCGGTCAGGGAATACACTCTTTGAACATCTGGTGTCCTCTCTGAATACTGAAGCTTGGTCACGGTGGGGGTGCCATGTCAGGCTTGTGGCTTTGATGAAAAAGGACATTGTCAGTGCTCTTCCAAATTGTCCCCCATATCTCAAAAAATACAACTTACTGTACATGTACAATGACACCTTTGTGCACTGTTGTATCTTGCCAGTTTAGAGACCTTGTATTTTGGCACACTGTATTGCAGCCCTCCCAAAAAAAATTCATATCTAAACTGAGGCCTTAAGAGCGAAAGCTTTGAATGCAACCTCATTCGACTGCAAACAAAGATATATCAAATTCACAGATGCTCTAGAAAAAACACGACCGACTACCTGGTGGTCTAGTGGTTAGGATTCGGCGCTCTCACCGCCGCGGCCCGGGTTCGATTCCCGGTCAGGGAATACACTCTTTGAACATCTGGTGTCCTCTCTGTATAGTGAAGCTTGGTCACGGTGGGGGTGCCATGTCAGGCTTGTGGCTTTGATGAAAAAGGACATTGTCAGTGCTCTTCCACGTTGTCCCCCATATCTCAAAAAATACAACTTACTGTACATGTACAATGACACCTTTGTACACTGTTATATCTTGCCAGTTTAGAGGCCTCGTATTTTGGCACACTGTATTGCAGCCCTCCCAAAAAAGATTCATATCCAAACTGAGGCCTTAAGAGCAACTGCTTTTAACACAACCTCATTCGACTGCATACAAAGATATATCAAATTCACAGATGCTCTAGAAAAAACATGACCAACTCCCTGCTGGTCTAGTGGTTAGGATTCGGCGTTTTCACCGCCGCGGCCCGGGTTCGATTCCCGGTCAGGGAATACACTCTTTGAACATCTGGTGTCCTCTCTGTATAGTGAAGCTTGGTCACGGTGGGGGTGCCATGTCAGGCTTGTGGCTTTGATGAAAAAGGACATTGTCAGTGCTCTTCCACGTTGTCCCCCATATCTCAAAAAATACAACTTACTGTACATGTACAATGACACCTTTGTACACTACCGTATCTTGCCAGTTTAGAGACCTTGTATTTTGGCACACTGTATTGCAGCCCTCCCAAAAAAGATTCATATCCAAACAGAGGCCTTAAGAGCAACTGCTTTTAACACAACCTCATTCGACTGCATACAAAGATATATCAAATTCACAGATGCTCTAGAAAAACCATGACCAACTCCCTGGTGGTCTAGTGGTTAGGATTCGGCGTTTTCACCGCTGCGGCCCGGGTTCGATTCCCGGTCAGGGAATACACTCTTTGAACATCTGGTGTCCTCTCTGTATAGTGAAGCTTGGTCACGGTGGGGGTGCCATGTCAGGCTTGTGGCTTTGATGAAAAAGGACATTGTCAGTGCTCTTCCACGTTGTCCCCCATATCTCAAAAAATACAACTTACTGTACATGTACAATGACACCTTTGTACACTACCGTATCTTGCCAGTTTAGAGACCTTGTATTTTGGCACACTGTATTGCAGCCCTCCCAAAAAAGATTCATATCCAAACAGAGGCCTTAAGAGCAACTGCTTTTAACACAACCTCATTCGACTGCAAACAAAGATATATCAAATTCACAGATGCTCTAGAAAAACCATGACCAACTCCCTGGTGGTTTAGTGGTTAGGATTCGGCGTTTTCACCGCCGCGGCCCGGGTTCGATTCCCGGTCAGGGAATACACTCTTTGAACATCTGGTGTCCTCTCTGTATAGTGAAGCTTGGTCACGGTGGGGGTGCCATGTCAGGCTTGTGGCTTTGATGAAAAAGGACATTGTCAGTGCCCTTCCACGTTGTCCCCCATATCTCAAAAAATACAACTTACTGTACATGTACAATGACACCTTTGTACACTGTTGTATCTTGCCAGTTTAGAGACCTTGTATTTTGGCACACTGTATTGCAGCCCTCCCAAAAAAGATTCATATCCAAACTGAGGCCTTAAGAGCAACTGCTTTGAACACAACCTCATTCGACTGCATACAAAGATATATCAAATTCACAGATGCTCTAGAAAACCCATGACCAACTCCCTGGTGGTCTAGTGGTTAGGATTCGGCGTTTTCACCGCCGCGGCCCGGGTTCGATTCCCGGTCAGGGAATACACTCTTTGAACATCTGCTGTCCTCTCTGAATACTGAAGCTTGGTCACGGTGGGGGTGCCATGTCAGGCTTGTGGCTTTGATGAAAAAGGACATTGTCAGTGCTCTTCCACGTTGTCACCCAAATCTCAAAAAATACAACTTACTGTACATGTACAATGACACCTTTGTACACTGTTGTATCTTGCCAGTTTACAGACCGCTTATTTTGGCACACTGTATTGCAGCCCTCCCAAAAAAGATTCATATCCAAACTGAGGCCTTAAGAGCAACTGCTTTGAACACAACCTCATTCGACTGCATACAAAGATATATCAAATTCACAGACGCTCCAGAAAAAAAATGATGAACTCCCTGGTGGTCTAGTGGTTAGGATTCGGTGTTTTCACCGACACGGCCCGGGTTCGATTCCCGCTCAGGGAATACACTCTTTGAACATCTGCTGTCCTCTCTGTATAGTGAAGCTTGGTCACGGTGGGGGTGCCATGTCAGGCTTGTGGCTTTGATGAAAAAGGACATTGTCAGTGCTCTTCCATGTTGTCCCCCATACCTCAAAAAATACAAATTATTGTGAATGTACAATGACACCTTTGTCAACAACTTTATCTTGCCAGTTTAGTGACCGCTTTTTTTGGCACACTGTATTGCAGCCCTCCCATAAAAAAAAATCAGACCCAAACTGAGGCCTTTAGAGTAACTGCTTTGAACACAACCTCATTCGACTGCATACAAAGATATATCAAATTCACAGATGCTCTAGGAAAAACATGAGCAATTTCCTGCTGGTCTAGTGGTTACGATTCAGCGCTCTCACCGCTGCGGCCCGGGTTGGATTCCCGGTCAGGGAATATGCAATTTGAACATCTGGTGTCCTCTCCGTATAGTGAAGCTTGGTCACGGTGGGGGTGCCATGTCAGGCTTGTGGCTTTGATGAAAAAGGACATTGTCAGTGCTCTTCCACGTTGTCCCCCATATCTCAAAAAATACAACTTACTGTACATGTACAATGACACCTTTGTACACTACCGTATCTTGCCAGTTTAGAGACCTCGTATTTTGGCACACTGTATTGCAGCCCTCCCAAAAAAGATTAATATCCAAACTGAGGCCTTAAGAGCAACTGCTTTTAACACAACCTCATTCGACTGCATACAAAGATATATCAAATTCACAGATGCTCTAGAAAAAAATGATGAACTCCCTGGTGGTCTAGTGGTTAGGATTCGGCGCTCTCACCGCCGCGGCCCGGGTTCGATTCCCGGTCAGGGAATACACTCTTTGAACATCTGGTGTCCTCTCTGTATAGTGAAGCTTGGTCACGGTGGGGGTGCCATGTCAGGCTTGTGGCTTTGATGAAAAAGGACATTGTCAGTGCTCTTCCACGTTGTCCCCCATATCTCAAAAAATACAACTTACTGTACATGTACAATGACACCTTTGTACACTACCGTATCTTGCCAGTTTAGAGACCTCGTATTTTGGCACACTGTATTGCAGCCCTCCCAAAAAAGATTCATATCCAAACTGAGGCCTTAAGAGCAACTGCTTTTAACACAACCTCATTCGACTGCATACAAAGATATATCAAATTCACAGATGCTCTAGAAAAAAATGATGAACTCCCTGGTGGTCTAGTGGTTAGGATTCGGCGCTCTCACCGCCGCGGCCCGGGTTCGATTCCCGGTCAGGGAATACACTCTTTGAACATCTGGTGTCCTCTCT